GTTATATAACGTATATGCGTATTTGTTACTGTGCATGTGAAGACGCAAACAACTTGCTCATACGTTTCAGATGACATTTCTGAAATCACAATATCCACTGTAAATTCTAATGTGCGTGAGATAGCTCACAGAAGTCAATAACTTTGCTATTTTTCCAAGTAATGAACCAAAAAGTACAAGTGTTATTGACTACAAAATGCGGCCAATAATTCATTTTTGTGCTGAAAGCATGTAATTTGTTCAGATTGCTCAAAATGTTAATGGAAGCATTGCTTGGTGTAAAACCAGCACTTCACGACCATCGCCGACCTTCTTTCCAAGATGGCCGCCAAAGATATGTAAGTATCTATAAGTGTTCAATATAAATTCAATATTTAACGAAGAAAATATTCAGTGTCATAAAATACTCCACTTCCCCCCCAAAATACAACATAAAATTAGTGATAACTATTAATAGACAATAAAAGTTTAAGGATGGTGGTAATCGTTATGCAAAAAAAAAAAAAAAAAAAACTGTTTGCGCATATGCGTGTTGTTACTTTATTTTGCCAAAGAAAAAATTCAATTGACCAAATTGCCTGCGATTTGAAAGTATGTTAAGAGAACCAAGACTGAGCCCTGATAATCATTTGTGCAAGGTGGCTGCCAAAAACTATTAATACCAAATAAAAGTTAGGTGTGGTATTATGTTATTACTTATATGTGTCTCTTTCAAACCAACTTGTCAGAACCTTTGAACCTTTGGACCTGTGGACCCCCCCCCCAAAAAAAAAAAAAAATCTAGAAACCCACGTTTGAATACAGTGTTTTAAATTGATTTACGAGAATGGTCTTTGTAAGAAAATATACAAAACAGCTTTGTACCTGTCGTTGATTTACTATCAGATTTATAGTCGCCTGTGTGTTACCAGTCCTCACCATAACGGGTCACCCTGTAATCAATCAAACTAACTACCAATTGACCATCTTATGATATACCAAAGCAGCCTGGAAGAGGGTCTGGTATAATGATAATGTGGAAGTGGGTTTTTATAAAACTCTGAATCACAGGGTGCACTTGTCACAAAATAAGTCTAATTGAAAACGGATCTATTCCGTATTTGGAGCCCAAGAGACGCCATTCCGGGGGGAATTCACATCGATTGGTAGCGTTTCTGAGCCACTGCTTATAAGACGCACCCAAAGGGTCGTATTTACGCAGACGATTGGCTACCTTGTGGACATACTGGGGAAGGGTTAAAAATTCCGGCCAATTTAGACTGTGGACAATAGGGGATAACTAGGGGTTAAATTAGACCGTGTTCGACTTAAAGACTTTCCAGACTGACATATGTAGGGTTTATTAACTACAAACCAAAAATACCCTTTCTCTCTCTCTCTCCCTCAACCCCCTCACACACACACACACACACACACACACACACACTCCCTGGCTGGAGAATATGGTGCATTTTAAAGTTTGGTGCATTTTGTAGTAGTTCTGCTCAGTCTTTTTCACTGCTAGATAAGAGAGGGGGTAAGTCCACCATTTTAATTTAGAAGAGTTGGGGGGTGGGAGGCAAACCTCTCTTGTAACGGTAGATCATATTCCATTCAGACAAACTAGGAACGAATCGTAAATCACATAGGTCGTTTCTTGCCTTCAATTACGGCATGTAGCTTTATGAAGATCAATTATTTAGGGTAATATTGGCCAACGCAACAGGCGCCATTAGACATAAATTGATTCTAACCNTTGGGAGTGTCCACCATGAGGGGGGCAGATCTAGGATTATTTGAAGCGGGGTCCGAGGATGCGAAAACATCACAGACTGAGAACCTTCAATTTGTATATAAGCTTTAGTTTAAAAGACCATCTTACTTGTATGTGGTCTACGCTTTTGAAACTGAGGTGAATAAACAGAAGGTGGCGCCAAACAGGTTTCCTGTGATTGGACATCGCAACCACAAAATGAACTGAGATAGTACGTAATACTTATACAAATTACCACATTGAATAGGCCTGGCATAAGAATATAAAGGAATTTTTTCTTATTTTTTCGTTTTTGTTTTCTTGTTTACAGCATAATGGATGCATCCCCCTATACATCAATATCGATGTAATGAAAGTTCAGTTTTGGAGAAGTCTGCGAGCAATTAATGACACGTGAAAGATGATATTTCTGCCGTATCACAAGTAGTGGCTGGTTCATTTCTAGGCAGTCGACAATAAAAATATCCATTTTCGATTTATTTCATTTTCTTATCATTGTGGAGCATCACACAGGTCTTAGCAGTAGATGCTGCAAATTTGGTTCTAAGTTGATAACTGTTGGGGAAAATCCTTTGAAACTACTTAAAAAACAGCCATCAAAAGGCAAAGAAACCACCATAAGATATCATCAGAAAAGTAAAAAATAAGTGCATGTTTGAAAAATAAACCAAAATGAGCTTTGTCAGAATGTTTTGAAAGAATACTAGAACATCTTGCTACGGATTTAAAATATGTGAAGAAATAAAACTCGCACGAATTTTCCATACTGAAGAGCATACAATGACATGTTGGTTTACTGGTGCTTTTAACTTTGATGGAATACTCAACAACAATCAAGTCAAAATGAAGGCCCATTGAAATGTACAGTTTACTCAATCTGGTAAAAACTACCCGCGATGAACGCCAGAGATGCGGTAGAAGACGGCAAATGGTGGCTGGAGGCAAAGGTAACGATTAGCCATTTAATGGGAACCTGTGTAGGTTACGTATAAACTATTTAAATGTACAGACGCACTTGTGTAAACAATCGTTACAGTTTTTAAAAGCCTCTAGTGTTGCCTTCACTTCTTGCAGCAATCGCTGGCTGCTTTGGTGAAATGTTATGTCATCACATAGACAATTTCAATTTTAAAAAAGATATCAATTTTGACTCCAAACTCGTAGTGATATTTTGTCGGTGCGTAAAAAGTTTGAACACTTTTTATTTTATTTTATCACTAAATTGAATGCTTTTTTTGTAATATATTGTGCTATATAACCACAACAGCCACGTATTCAATAAATTAAACTATCTTCATAAAATTGGGGTTTTCCCTGATTGAAGATACGAGTACATGGCCTTTTTTAAATGGTTTAATGCATAACACATATTAACATGATGCATATCCTCCGGTATGACGCGCACATGAGCGTGTGTATCCTTCCATCTTAATCTGCCTTTCTTAAAATGAATAGCATCAATGCAAACGCAATATTGTACAATGTAAGGCTGACATACTGGTACCAAAACCTTTTAACTACTTAGTCCGTTTAGTAAGCCTAACGCATCATACTTAGTGCGTCAATGTCTGTAATACAGCGTTAAAGAATTCATATCTGTAGCTATGTACATGTAAATACCTGCACGTCACCAAGCCAACACACCCTGCTGTGGTTGCAGTGGATAAATGGGAACACCAGTTGACTTAGTCAACATTGGCTTAGCGGACTATCCATGGACTCACAAGCGGGCCATAGTATTGTATAACACCAGTCCCCCTCCCTCCCCCCTCCTCCCCCCCCCCCCCCCCCCCACACACACACACACACAACCTCAACCCCATCCGCCAACCCAGTCTGGAAGCAGCTGTACAAGGCCAGTCAAAATGAAACCCGTGTGGAACCCATGATAAAATCCTATTAGGATCAGTGTGGAACCCATAACCAATCCCTATGTGGATCCCATGAATAAAATCAGTTTGGGAACCATGTCTAACCATGATCAATCCCCACTGGGGCATCTTTGGGCCCCCTGACTTGTCCCTTTTGGAACCCCTCTGGAACCCATGACCAAAACCAACCGGACACTTGGGATCCTTCCCTTGTGTGAAAACGAGGTCATGAAGGTCAAGGTCAGAAATGCTATGTCGTTCTAGATGACTGGCCAGCCCGAACCTGACCTGCCCCATTTGTAACCCCTTTGGAATCATGGACCAATAACGCTTAGGGCCAATTTGGAATGCAAGTCCAAACTCCACTGAAACCCAAGCGTTGTTCCCAAGAGGGCTGGCTGGCAAAGGAAGCTCAATATCATTTATAATTACATTAAGTAACACCTTTCATGTTTTTGTGGCTGCTGGGTAAAAGTCACCTAATCCTTAATGCTGATTATTTGTTTACAACGTAGATTTCATCATGGACTATATCATGTCATTTTACATAAAACTATAAAAGCTCTCAGAGAACGCAGAGCCCCGAAAGGCTGCTCAATGCTCATTATAAGTAATTTATTATTGATTAACTATTCAATTAGCTTTAGTCTCATTATTATCAATTGATTAATAACCTAATTACTTAATTACCACCAAAATATAGATAATTCCATATGCAAGCTATTAATTTCATCAAAATCCATCCATAACGTGTTTTGAACAATGTTGCTATCAGATAGACAAACTGATTCATTAAAGGGATAATCGCCAAAATTCAAGCGTTTGGTACTTCGTCGCCTTCCGACATTTCCAGAAAAAAAAAATTAAAATCCGTCCACAACTTTTGTATTATGTTGCTAACAAACAGAGAAATGGTTAACTCATAATTAAGCAATAGTTCTTAAATGGATCACCACCAGTTTCTGAGCGTTTCTCACTTGGTCCACTCTCGACAGTTTCTGAAAATCTAATCTAAATCCGTCCACGACTTTTACCAGGATGTTCCTAGCAGACAAACAGATAAACGGAGGCAAAAAATAAAGAAATAAATAAATAAACTTCCTTGGCAAAGGTAATTTTAAATGCATGAATAGATTTAATAAAACGTGGGGAATATCTATAAAAACAACTTTCTTATTACTATTTATGTGACATTTTCCTGTTTTTAGTAAAGGAATCACATTGACAAAAGTCGTCCAACACATTTTATGTTGTCTGAAGTAAATGAACCGACCATATGTTTTTGGCTTTATATTATAGCCAAAGATGTCTCGTTTTTGTCCCTTACCCCCCTTACTTTTGTCCCTTTTCTCACAGTGTATCAATGTACCACTTACGTCATTGCCCATGTGCGAACTCGGAATCCTTTCCTCTTCTCCATCATGACGGTTTTTCTCCTTTTTGTAGAAATAAATATTAATTATCAATAGTCAGCATGAAGTCAAAAGAAATTCTGCAATTAGGAAGACACGTACTTAAACCACTTGTCACCGAGGCGTCCAGTAAAGCACGGGCAATTCGAGCGTGTCTTTACCCTCTGAACCGTTCAAATGTTTGTTCACACTATGCTGTAAGAATTTGTTCCGTCGCCGTTCAACTTTCCACGGATCAATATCAGAGCATCGTTTCTCAGGGACACGTTTCTCCGCAACCAAGCTACCGTTCTGGCTAAAATATCTAACCGCTTCTGTGCGTGTCCTGAATTGCTGATTACCTTAAACGCACAGGAATATGTTCTTGCTGATAAATATCAGTGTTCTGAGATTTAAGAAAGGCAAGAGCGTTTCTCCACGGGTGGCCCTAGTTTACATATCTGCTCATTACGCACGCGGAGTGAGTTGGTGAGGTGCAGTGCGTTTACTAATTTTAGAGCGATTTACGCCAACGAGTACTTTTTGAATTAACCCTCAGGTGCAAACCTGCTGCTGACCAGTTAATTATGTACGAGGTGATGATTATCGAGATACCTGAAGTTGAGAGAGAGAGAGAGAGAGAGAGAGAGAGAGAGAGAGAGAGAACTAAGCAGGAAGTTATATAAAATGACATCTTATCAGCAGATAAATAAACATGATGAACATACTTTTTGGAATTGTAGAAAAGATTTCACTTATTAACAATGATTTAACTTTCCACATACAACAATGAATTTGTCATGCATGACTGCAATCCAAATTATAAGGAATTGAAAATTTTAAATCATTGATAATAAACAAAATGACAGTAATTCATAAATTTATTAACTGTGATAACAAATGAAATATCATATACATTTCAACTTTTCATAATTAGGCAAGCTTTGAGATGTTTGTTTCTTTTTAAATTCTGTTTTTATTAGAGAGCGCGCTACTAACAACTTATATTCATAACTGCACATGACAATCTTCAGACTATTTACATATCATGAAAATAGCATAATTCTTTGTGCATGTACAAAAAGCTTCAGCACTTTGAAAAAAGTGTTTTGCACCTTTGTCCAAATGTGTCTGTGCTTTATCTGGCATTTCTCAGTACCAGCTATAATGAAAGCTTTTTTTCTTATCTGAGCCACATAACCGTTAATTCCAATGATGAAAATTCCCAGCAATTATACCATATAATTATTCAAATCTATTCTTCTCTGATACATGATTACTTCATCACATGATTGAATTCAATTTTTTTTTTCAATTCAAGAGAATGGTTGATCTTGGAAACTGCTGGGAAATAAGAAGAAAACTTTAAGTTGGAATTTTGCCCACAGCCTATATTTCCACTTCAAGGGAGATCTGCAAGTGCTGATGCCTGATATTTCAGTCCAACTTCAAATCCAAGACTACCCAGAATTGAAAATTTTTGTTTCCTGTTAAAACCCAGTGTCTGTTTCTTACATTTTTTCCCTATTAAAAATCCCTCAGTTCTTCAATCCGTATTTCTAGTCATAACCAAATTGCTGAATTCAGATGTCAGACATTTCCGATCCAATCCAATGCAGTACTGAATGTAAAGGTGCTTATATTTTAAACTGTTTTAATTCCTCTGGCGTTTCATAGGTCGGAGTGGCGTCCTCCCAAAAGCCATCTTCTGGCTGGTATCCAGGGATGGGCGGGGAGTGTTTGGGTCCTTTGAAGGTGTACGGTGTCAACGTCTTGTCAGGCTGAAAAAAAAAATTTTTTTTTTGTAATATTTCACATTGTATCTGTAATTATGAAATACAGATCTATTTATCTGACAGGCTTTATGTTGCTGTGTTAATTTTTTAATCGCCGTTGCTGCGGTGTAGTGTGCAGCTGCTACTAAGGATTGGACATTTTAAAATGCTTAACATGGCTTTGTCAGTAGGAAGTTATTACAAATACAACTACAAAAAAGATCGCTGATATGAATGTGGAAGGGTNCTTGATTATATATATATATATATATATATATATATATATATATATAATTGTTGTGTCCTAATTGTACTGTCATACTTGTAATTTAATGCCTTAAATGAATTTTCGGTTTTCTCAACTTTTCATTGAAATAGCAACTATAAATGTGATTAATTCCATTACATTCAGTCTAATTTCCAGAAGTTTATAAGGTTGTTATATAACAATATGTGTCCTGAATTATAAAGATGTGCGGGTTAAATGTTTTTAGGATGTATACTTATATAATCAGTTTACAGGTCAAGTTTAAAGAAGTCTGTTCTAAGTCACACTAGGTAACTCAATTAAACAAGAAGCCATATCTTTGATTAACAAATACATCCACCTCAAATGTATTTAGGAATGGTCCTCTGCCTTGTAACTATATTATTCACCTTGATCAATCAGTTTAAGTTATCAACCTATTGTCCACTAGTAGAAGCCATTTAGTGCTCAGTCTGGAAGTCTTCCCTATCGCATGTGTAATTGAATTAAAGTGACCACTCTGGCAACCCACCTGGCTGGGAAGCCAATGTAATGTAATTATATATGTGAAGGTATATAAACAGAAATAAAGGTAGAAGTCAGTAGTCAGTACTCAGAGAGAGGACACTGTATGCTGATCTCTAGAAAGCAAAACATGACGTTATGTTAGTACCAAGAAAGAACAAACTCACCTGTATAGCTTTTTGATATAATTCTTCAGATTCCTTTTGTAGCTCTAGGAGTGCCCTGTCTCTAGATGCTCTAGCTATGTTAATCGCCTAAAAATTTAATATGAAATATAATAAATAACATAGTAAATATAAAAAACATATAACTTGGAAGAGTACAAAGGAAAAGTCTAACTACTACCGAGTGAAGGAAAACATGGCCTTGAAAGTATATAATTACAGGTATTTCTCTAAGTGTGAGTGAATGTTATGTGAATTTTTTATTATCCTGTATTTGTTATGTATTGAGCCAATAAAAAAATCTGTTGGAAAGTCATTGCCAGTAGTCAAAATATGCCACAAGACTGCTGAAGGCCCCAAAATTTGTTGTGAACTATATTCAGACCTACATTCCATAAAGGGCTCCTTAGTTCAAGTAACACACTCACTTTATTAACTTTCTTGTGTTCAATAAATCTGTATCTGCTCCAGTCTCGTAGTAAAACAGCACGCGTCTCCTGTGCCTCTGGGGTGATAACAGACCATCGTGCTCTCGTCCTACAAAACACAATTAATGACGATAATAAAACCAAACAGATGCAGTTTAAAAAACTTCTGAAGTGATTTTCTGATAGTTAAAGGGATAACAACTCGTCATTTTGGCCAAAAAAATGGATTTTCCTGGGTAAAGGACAATTTTCCCCATACTTCCCAATGGTTATTAATAATAATAATAATAATAATAATTTATTAAGATTGCAACCCAGTGGGTTGAAGTTGTATGTAGAGTGTTAAGAAAGTTATAATGAAAATAAAATGAATATATGCTTGAAAAAAACTGAGTTAAAAGACTGCTAACTGAACTTTAAAATTATTGTACTTAGGATAAAAGACAACATAATACTAATACATATGGAAAAAAAGAGCATCGGAATCTGTCGGTCTTAAATTTTGGCACTTTGTATCTATTGTTTGATCTTAATCCATTTCTACATTCAAAGTTACTCTCTGGTTTTCTGTAATATTCTCTTAAGAGATTATTACAAAGTGTAGCCATCTATGGAGATCACGTGATGTGATAGCAAGCACAAATTCTAGAAAAATTGCCTTATCTACAGTTTTTGGTGGTACAATGAATTTATTATATTTCTATGAGCTGTTTACAATGCATTTATTGTGAAATATGGATAACTTAACGAACGTTGTTATCCCTTTAATATTTTTGGTTGTACAATTATTCACAAATTTTAAACATTCCACTGATTAAAAAAGAACCCTTCTCACTTTTCAGAATTTTAACTTTTTTATGCATTTCTAAAAAAAAAAAAAAAAAAAAAAAAATTAGCACACTTTTTTGTTCTTGCGATAAGCAATGCTCCTAACAAACTGCATTTAACATTTGTATTGATTATCTCCTAATCATTCATCAATTACACGTTAATTTGAAAAGTAAATTTAAAAAAAATCAACAAAGCTTTCCATACATTAGTTGGGACTGCAGCTGCCAGTTGTCCACTTCTTCTATAGGTTTTTTCTGACCAGCATTCTTTTCTAATCGTCTCATGAGCTTCTCTCTCTCTTTCGCCAGCTTCTCCTGCCTGGCTGGAGTCAAAATACGATGGTCTACGTGCACTTTCTTTACTGGTGGCCCTGAACTGAAAAGTTAAGGCAAAGATGGTCTTTTAAAAGTAGTATCCTTGTTCAGAAAGTAGTATCCTTGTTCAGGAAGGTGAAATTGTGAAATAGAATTTTCAGCAATTTTGCAGTATCTCCCCTTCCCCGTCATATAACTCTGAGATATTTAATATCTTTTCTAAATTTATTTTGTGTGGCGACTTTGAGCAACTTCTCAAATAAATTAGTCTGGCAATTTATTTATTAATTTTAAGATGTTTTTAGCGTGAAACTTTCCAATATCACGTGAGCTGAGGTTATTGCTGGGGCAAAAATTTGCTGAAATCTTGTTGGTCAAAGAACTTGGTTTCTTTAAAAACGATAAAAATTAAGTAAGCAAATTTCCACACTAATCTATTTGAATAACAGAGACATTGATCAAAGTTACCACATAAATAAATTTTTATTTCTATTAGCATTAACAATTACAGTTATATATATATTTTTTTTTTGGGGGGGGGGGATACTGCAAAAGTACCAATTTTTCATTGTCCTGTGTTGTGTCAGATGATTGAAGTAAAGCAGCTCTTTTTTCCTTACTTGACTTGCAAAGAAATTCTAAAGCAGTCTGGTGTGCTCTTGGTAGAAATTGCTCTTGTTAAATAGCTTCCTGGGGAACATCGCGAGATAAATAATCTGGAAGAAAATTTAGAAATATTTGTTATTTTACATAAAGTTAAGCAACACAGTGGTGTGATTTTGTTCATGTAACTGGTAAGTCAAAACTAGTAAAGAAAACACTTAATTATCGCTATTTAGAATGATCTTCCACTAGCACTCATGTTCAAATATTTAAATTAACTGCTGTGTTGTTTGTGCTCTACCCCAGAGTTGCTCAGCTGAAGATAGCCTAGCAAGAAATTCACATTTGGCCATCTTATTGATGATTTTGATATGTAACGATCAGAGGTGGGGGGTGGGGGTCGGGGGTTGTAGATGCAGGTTTGTTAGCTTGGTGATAGAGCACTCGCAAAATAAGAGAGTATCTGTGTTCAATCCCTTGATCTGTGTTCTTATTGACGATTTTGATATGTATCGATTGGGGGGGGGGGGGCAGGGGGGTAGACACAGGCTTGATAGCTTGGTGATAGAACACTAGCAAAGTAAGAGAGCGTCTGTGTTCAATCCCTTGATCTGTGTTCTTATTGACGATTTTGATATGTATCGATTGGGGGGGGGGGGGTAGACACAGGCTTGATAGCTTGGTGATAGAACACTAGCAAAGTAAGAGAGCGTCTGTGTTCAATCCCCAGTCGAATCAGGTACTTTGCCCCAATATCACTTCATTGCCATTGGCGACAAGGTATTAAGGTTTCGTTCACATGGAAAGTCTATTTTCTAAAAATCTGTTTTCTATTTGCCCTATCTTATGATCACGGTCTGTGCCCTGAATATCCTGCCGCGTAATTACTGGCAGCGCGAGCCAGTTACTTATAGTAACTTATGGTAACTGGCTCGCGCTGCCAGTAATTACGCCGCGGGATATTCAGGGCACAGACTGTGATCATAAGACATACCACGAATAGAAAATAGAATTTAGAAAATAGACATTGCATGTGAATGAAGCCTAAGTTTCTCACTCTCAGTGGTGTTTTTCTTCTACTTTGTGTCTTTCTGGATTTGGTGGGGGGATGAAGTCACTGGCAGGGATAGATCCGGCTTCGATAGCTCAGTGGTTAAGGACTTTAACATAAGCGAGCGTCTGGGTTGGATACCCGGTCGAGTAGATGTATTTTCCCCGTTACAGCACAGCACAAAAAAGCTGTGCTGAAATGCTGCATGTGCTGTCAATGCCATTAGACAAGTCACAAACAAAACAGAAAGCATCACATAAAATATTTGCTGATATTAGTCATAAATTATTTCTAGCTTATATAAACATGTAGATCTCGATTTCAACTCAACTAAACATTGACGTTACCTTGAAAGTTGCACTGCGGCCTTTTGCTCCGTGGATAGCGCCATGTTGTAAGTCGTGACCTTCAGCTTCGGCTTTTTCCGCCATCATAAAGTTTTTTTTTGCAATTTGTCATATAATAAAAATATATATGATAAATGTATGAAATATGAGCATGGTTTAATTATAATAGTTACCCAAATATATTGAGTTCTATAAACACGATTAAAAAATGATTAAAAAGGAAGGGCTACTCGTGACGTCATACATTTTTGACCTAGTTTCGTGTTCCCGCCAAAAATAAATAATACGGGAACACTTATTTTTGTCCATCAAAATCTGAAATGGAAATAGAGTCATAAGCAGAATGGTTTTACAGAACAGTGGAAAGTATCACGCGGAACCTTCGGGAAAAGAGGATGGTGGGAATAGGTATGTGGAAACACTTTGCTAAGAGGTGTTTTTGTTGTGCTGTCGGGGTGAACGTAGAGAGGTGCTTGTGGAAATCTAGTCTTGTGATCATTCATGGGCACCGATCATCCACTGATTTAGGTTCCATCGGCACTGATTTAGGAGGTAGCGTTTTTCTAAAAAATACGCCAATATACTTATGATGATGGAATGGTTTGACTCGATGCACACTCGCCCCAGAACTTCTCCTTGAGAGACACAACAAATGGCAGTGTGTGTGTGTGTGTGTGTGTGTGTGTGTGTGTGTGTGGGGGGGGGGGGGGGTCATTAGTACGATACCCTCTTTACTTTAGGTTGTAGGAGCAAAGGTATGGGTGTTTTTGTGTAAAAGCTTTGTGCTAATGTTGACTACTCTTTGAATTTCTAAAAATGAGCAAAAAGGCAGAAATGGAATGAATCTATTTTGGCATGGACAGTATAATTCCTTGGTGGACTGGTTGTAACATTATCTTTATGCTCAGTGATCGAGGTACTACCAAGTAGGAATTAAGTTACAAATAGAAACCAAGGGAGATGAACTAAAACTGTCTAAATTACATACCCATAGCAACACAATAACATTATTTTCTTCCTATCCCAGGGAGGACTCCACAGATAAGCGACTCCGAAGAGCCCTATTCAACGAAGAAGTTGACATACGCTTTGGATATGACCGCCATAAAGACACTTATGAAAAAGTTGGCTGGCTTATCAATATGCATCCGGTATGCTAAGAGATAGATTTATTGATTTATTGATTTATTGGTCAAATTAACTAGTGGAGGCATGCTTATTTAATTTATTATCCACTGACACAAATTCGAAAGAATGAACCTTTGGATTGAATTTGGAAGAATACCAGTAGATATATGCATTGAAAACATGATGTCAAATGAGACTTACAAGTATGAGGCATCTCTGATGTTGTTCATTTAAAACCATAGGGAGCACAAGCTGCACACATCAAAAACAAAGTTTTGATATTGATGACCTCTGTGAAATTCACTGTAGCATTGTATTAGTATGTATATGTATATCTACTAGTAAGTGTATTTATCTATTTCATTATATCAAATTTATTTATAATATCTAATTATATATAAAATTGATATAATATCAATTATATTATTATCTGTCAATCAAAATATCATTTGATGTGTGATTTGTATTATAATTGATAACATATATATTTATCATTATATTATTATTAGAAATATCATTTGTTTTGTTCAGGGGGATGTGTTGGATGAAGACAAGAAGTTGGTCAGCGCTGTGGATTATTACTTTGTACAAGATGATGGAGGGCGGTTTAAGGTATTTGAACTGTTAACCTTAGCATCTGATGAAGTGCTCACCAGTCTGCAGCTTGGTTCTACAGCTTGGTCCTTGTTCACCTACTGGTCTCATGTAGTACTTTAAGTTTTTATTAATATTATTTTGTTCTACTTGATACAGGGCGGATTCTTCAATATACTTTAATATTCATTGAAAACTTCCATAATTTCAATATTGCAGGTATCACTGCCTTTCAAACCTTACTTCTACGTGGCAACCAAGGCCAACTGTGAGCGTGAAGTCGCCTCCTTCCTGATGAAAAAATATGCAGGCAAGATGGCGGCTGTTGAAACTGTAAACAAGGAGGACTTGGACCTGGTAAGGCACAAACTTGTAGAATTTTTTTTTTAAATTGAGTATGAAAATCAAATCATAAAGCTTTTAATAATAAAGAAAAGATATATGTGCTTTCAGTATTTCATGTTCATGCCTTACTTTTAAGTCAATTGTAAAGTTCCTATTTTCAGTTTCATTGGAACAAAGTAATCTTGTTAATTAGAGATACTGTACGTGTACACTGTATGTACTTGTTTTCAGCATAACCATCTGGTGGGCCTGAAAAGGACCTACTTGAAACTGTCCTTCAGTTCTGTGGAAGATCTGATGAAGGTGAAGAAGGACATAAATCCAGCTGTGAAGAAAAATAAAGACCGGGCAAAATCTCAAGATGCATACAGTGAAATGTTAACAAGGTAAATCTTGGGTTGAGCAGAAAATATATTGGGCTTAATCTAATCATTTTACGGCTGACTGGGCCACAGTTGACTTGCTTACTTTGGTAGCTGTCACCAGTGAGAGTAAAAAGTATTTGAAGAGATCACAGTTTGCTTTTGGGCTAAGTTAGAAGATGAAAATTAGAAAGAACAATTGAAATCAAAAAAAAAAGAAGAGGGTAAGCAACCCTGTAGATCATTTGTGAAATACCACTAAGCAAGTATTCTTAAATCCATTGCAATCTCTGTTAAGAATCAAATGCATTGCTTTAGTTAACTTGATTTTACTGTATGTTGTCATTTTTGTGCCCCAAGCATGCACTTGTGGCAAATGACTGTATTGCATCAGCAATATTTGTGCATGTGTTGTCCAGTCAGTGTATACATATACATATACATATACATATACCAGATATTGTATATTGCAGTCATCTGGCAGGAGACACTGGGTCCAGTGTGATGTCCAAGAAGATAGCAGACCAGATGGAGAATATTATAGACATCAGGTACAGCGTATGCTATGTCTATATAATTTTCTTCTTGATTTTCTACTTGGTTTGACTGCCTGTAAAAGACGTAAGGTTATGTTCTGAGTGGGGAGTGTGATACACCTTATATTGAAAAAAAAATCAAGGAATCGTTTTAAGTGTAATAATAATGTGCATTAAAATATTTCATTACTATATTTTATTGTATTGTATTGTATTATTTATTTATTTATTATTTTTATTTATTTATTTAAGAGAGCATGATGTGCCATACCATGTGAGGGTATCCATAGATAAGCGTATCCACATTGGTCATTGGTACGCAGTCAGAGGGAGAGGAGCTGGCCCCCCAGAGATACGGAGGAGGGAGGACCTTGTGGAAACCCCTGTAAACATAAAATTATATTTATTTTAGAGATCCCTACCCATGTTAAAATGATACCATATATTGGAAGAATGTTTAAAGGATACAGGATCCTAAGATATATTTATTTTTTCATACGGCAGCAAAAGGAAAAAATATTTATCATCCCTCAGTCTAGACGGGCATAATTGTGGTATATTGACACGTAATTTTAAGAAGTATTTACAAGGGAAATTTTAAAATAAATATGCAATTTGAAGAAAAAATAAGCAAATTCAAGATTACAACAATTCCATTCACTGTCCCATTTGAAATGTTTATCACCCCGTCTTGCAGGATCCAGTTGTTTTAGCCTATGATATAGAAACGACCAAACTGCCGCTAAAATTCCCAGACTCTTCCACAGACCAGATTATGATGATATCGTACATGATAGACGGTCAAGGTTATCTGATCTGTAACAGAGAGATCGTAGCGCAGGACGTGGAAGATTTTGAGTACACTCCGCGTCCAGAATTTGAAGGACCTTTCATTGTATTCAATGAACCAGATGAGGTGGGTCAAGTTGCAGGTCTGCAGCAAAATATTAACTTAGTTTTAATTGTGAATCCTTTATCAATTATAATATTGGTTGTTGAATAATTACTTATATTTTCTGGTGAAGATGTGTTTAGGATCGAATTGTCAATGACTGGATCCCAAGAAAAACAAAAGAAAAAATAATTAATTAACAGAAGGCTTGTGCGTTCATAGTTATGCTAAAATGTACAATACTGCATGTATGTAATATTTTAAGTTTATTTATACCTTTCTTTTAGATTTTATAAATGCAAATGAAACTTGGAGCATTTTGAGAACACTTCATCATTTATTAAATTCCATTATTTTTTTTCAGATGGGTACTATTCAGAAATTTATTGATCATATAATAGAAGTGAAACCTAATATTTTTGTCACATACAATGGTGACTCGTTTGATTGGTGAGTTTGTAGTTGATGAAGTTGATCACTTTCAGTTAAATGTTTTTCTAGTGTCTTCGAAAATCTTCTAAGTAATGAACTATATAATTTTTATAGCAAGCTAGACGACGTGGAAATTTCAGACATGATATCTTTATTAACAAGGTATCTCCTATCCATGATCTTTCAACATTCTATGGTTTGATCTTATGTTAAACAGGCCATTTGTTGAGGCCAGAGCCGCCTTTCACAGCATCGATCTGGAGAGGGAGATTGGGTTTGCCAAGGACAGTATGGGGGAGTACAAGTCCAGACCTTGCATTCACATGGACTGTTTCAGGTACACATAATAAAATGTGTTATATTTTTCTTAGATAGTAAAAGTTTAGAAATGGGATTTTTTTAACCCTTCACATTATGTCTTTTGTTTTAATGCATGTAATGCTGGAAAAAAGTACAGAAGCTGTTTTTTTCTTAAATTTTTTTTTTTTCAGTAAAGCAAAATATGGTTTGATTTGACATTTTTTTTACTGAAATTAATCAAATCTTCTACATGTTTGACGGTTTGTAAGTGTTGAAGGTCACAGTTTTCAGTTCAGCTGATTGTGGAAAATTATAAATAGAAGAGATAAGTATTAAATTATGTATCTTATTTCTCCCAGGTGGGTAAAGAGAGACAGTTACTTACCTGTAGGAAGTCAGAACCTGAAGGCAGTGGCAAAGGTGAGAATTCACAACTTTGACTTGATTTGAGGGTAGAAGCTTATCTGAGTTCTATGAATGTTAGTATGGTATAGACACGATATATATGTTAACAGAATCCAGGTCCTAGGATATAATTTATTTTCATTTTCTGGGTGCATGGCAATTTTGGGGAAAAAAGGAAAATCGAGATTATAAGCTAAAAGACAAACAGTAGGTCAACTAAAAATAAGATATCAGTATTATAACTTCATTTTGGTTGATGTCATTGATGCCTTTAATGAATCTAATACTTCTTGGGATGGAGGAGTTAAAACGGATTATCATTTTTTGACCCCAGGCTAAGTTGAGATACGACCCAGTGGAGTTAGACCCTGAAGAGATGTGTAGGATGGCCAATGAACAACCACAGGTGAACTTTTTAAGGCTTTGATTTGTTTTAAGAAATACAAAAGCAATTTTCTCATACTTCCAAAGGAAAACAAGAAAGTTAATAACGAGAGCTGATATGGGTACATTTGCTAAATAAGCACAGAAACAATGAATATAAGAATGTGTATTATGTGCTGCATAGATCTTCATCATAATGAAAAAGGCAGGAAAAAAAACATATTAAAAAAAAGGGTATAAATATTATTTAATAACTTAATAGGCCTCAGACCATTCTTCATTGTTAAGAAAACTTACCCATTTGTAATCCTTCACTTTGTACTCACTCATGTCCTGTGTATTCATAGGTACTTGCCAATTATTCAGTGTCAGATGCAGTGGCCACGTATTACTTGTACATGAAGTATGTGCATCCTTTCATCTTTGCCCTGTGCACTATTATCCCCATGGAACCAGACGAGGTGAGTGTTAATGACCTCCTATACTGAGTGTGTCTGTGTAAATGTATGAGTGAATGCTTTAAGTGATTCTGCTGAATTACAAATTGGGAATATGTATCAATCATATTCTGGTATATGGTAAAATTAAATGACTAACCGATGTTGCAGTCTCACCCTGAGAGGCTTCACTATAGGTAATGAGCAGGGTGAACTGGTCACCTCATCTTGCCACTAGTCTAAGGTGTGTGAGAGGTTTTGTACTGTTGTAGTGAGGGTAACCATATCTTGTATACATGTGCACGCATGCACACACACCAACCCACATGCACACACACACACACACACACAAACACACACACACACACACACACACACACACTTAGGGAAAGAGAGAGAGAGAGAGAGATCTCATTAGATCAAATCACCTAGATTTGGTGAGTGGAGAAGGGGGGGTCTTTTTCTGAAATCAACTGTATGTAGGACACCTGTAAGTCTTTTTGTTGTTTTCAAATTGATATTCTAATTTCTTAAAAAGACATTTCCTTCCATGTCACCTACCTCAGGTATTACGTAAAGGCTCCGGCACCCTCTGTGAGGCACTGCTCATGGTCCAGGCCTACCACGCCAACATCGTCTTCCCAAACAAACAGGAGCAAGTGTTCAATAAACTCAGCGATGATGGCCATGTTCTTGATACAGAGACATACGTGGGTGGTCACGTTGAGGCTTTGGAGTCGGGAGTCTTCAGGGCAGATATTCCATGTAGATTTAGAATGGTAAGGACAGGTGTATTTGGTATTTTATAATGCTTGATTATTTGGATTTCAACATCTCATGAAAGGGGTGGAGTGTAAAAATATTGTAAAATTAACATAATAGTAGGAGAGTTAGGGTTTTGGGGGGATGGAGGGTGTTAAAAAGATTCGAAAGGATTTGAAAAAAAAAAAAAAAAACTCATGATGAGGCCAAACTTGAAAGAAAAGTAAAATACATTGAAGTTTCAGAATTATATCATAATTTTAAAAAAGTGCAGTTTGTTATTTGTGAATGATCTAAATGTAAAACTTTTTGGTTGTATTAAGGTTCCAGAGGCATTTCAAGGTCTGATAGATAAAGTAGAGAAAACCATGAAGCATGCCATAGAAGAGGAAGAGGGAATACCTTTAGATACTGTCACTAACTTTGATGAAGTAAGTACTGTCAAAAGGGAAGAAATTTCAAAGCTCCCTGAATTTATGATTTATTTAACTGCTTTATTATATTTTTTCATGCATTTTATCTGCTGTTCAGTTTCAGTTCACATAAGTTATGGAGAGACATTAATGTGTCTGTTCTTTCTTCATCAAATGTCATTTCTGTGAAGTGTGGAAATCGGGTACAATACAGACTGTTCGATGACTGGATTTTTTACAAACAATGATTTTCATCTTTGTGTATATTGTTATTTCATGATACCATTTCTTCCAAATAATTAAAGGAAACCAGGATATTAAAGCAGCATTTTTAACCAGTTGCATTATACATACACATTTAAAAATATTTTCTTACACCTTTTTTTTTTATTTACAGGTTTGTGCAGAAATTATAGAGAAACTGTCTCGATTGCGTGACTGTCCGAACCGTTTGGAAAACCCAATTATTTACCATCTTGATGTGGGTGCCATGTACCCTAACATCATCTTGACCAACCGATTACAGGTAAGGGCACTTGTCTAAGACTGGGTTCCCATCCCTAGATTGATCTAACAGGATCGGTCCATGTCCACGGGGTCCCCGCTAAATTCCTTTCAGCCCAAGTGGCTTAGACATCTAGGACGCCCACTAAAGCTGCTAAATGATAGTTAATTACCCCCTATCAGCCTCAGCAGGTGTGACAGACATCTAAGCCCCAAGTAGATAGTTCGTTCCAAAGCTGGTTTGATAGGGCCTGGGAATGGTCTCTATGTATAATTCCTTAAAATTATTTCACAAAACAAGGACTGCTGATGTTTTGTTTTAGTCGTTTTAGATTAGAAAAAATAAATTGTGCACAGAGTTATTATTTTAACAATAACATTAATGTATAATGATATAAATGATAAATTGATGGTATGTCTTGTGTTTATGTCGTAGCCGTCAGCCAATGTAGATGAAGCCACATGTGCTGCTTGTGACTTCAACAGACCAGGGGCTCTGTGTCAGCGGAAAATGACCTGGACTTGGAGAGGGGAAGTCAGTAAGTGGTACAGATATATGTATGATATGGAATTCAATCCTCGGTAAAGGGTGTGACTGTTATGGTAGAATCTAGTATTATAATTATTTTTTTCCTCTTATGTGATATTATGAGTCATCTGTGATCTAGCATTCACTCTCTCATTTCTTCTCCCCTTCAGTGCCTGCGTCCCGTAGTGAATATCACCGTATTCAGCAGCAGTTAGAAAATGAAAAGTTCCCCCCTGCCTTTCCCGATGGTAAGCCCAGAGCCTTCCATGAACTCTCCAGGGAAGAACAGGCCAGTTTTGAGAAGAAGCGACTTGCAGGTTGGTTAGCTGGAGTCTTATGTTCCTTGGGATTACTGTAATAATGTCTCCACTTATAAAATGGAAAGTTTTAATGATGGAGTTCCAAAATGAACAGAATTTAATATAAATTATAAGAATTGACCACTTCAGAGAAATTTAGAAGAGATGAACATTAAGGAAGGACAGGAAAACTCAGTATTTTTTCATGAGGGTGTTCATTGTAGTCTGTCTTGGAGATAGTGCTGTCCCCTGGTAGGCCGTCACAGCTGCAACTGTTGTGAAGTGACAAACATTGCACTGTGAATCGGTCTGTTGGTGGCCATGTTAACACAGCTGGACTGGATTTGGGATGAGGCAAAGAAAGTCTGAACCAAGGAGAGATGATGTGATATTGTAAAAGAAAATTGTCAGCTTATAAGAATACCACATACAAGCTTGCTTATAAATTCAAGAATTGATCATTGATAACAAGTGATAGAGAAGTTCACAGGAAAATATGGTAACTTCTGAGTTTTACAAGCAAAGATGAAAAGTTTTAAGTGTTTTTGATGAAAATACGTCTTTTATTTAAAACATTTTCATGAAAGCTGCAGAGTTCAGAGATCTTTAAGTAAAAATGTTGGCAAGACCCAAACTAGCGTTATTTCATGGGGAATTGTGGCTAACAGACATGCTATGAATAAGTTAGATCTGATCAATTGAGTTTTGATTATCTTATTTTAAGGTTCACTAAAGGGAAAATCTTCATAGTATATTTTAAATACATGTTATCTTTATTTTCACAAATGGATAATACCTGACCCAGAATACAAAGAGTTTTGTAACACAAAGTGATGATATTTGTTTCCATGCAGATTACTGCAGAAAGGCGTACAAGAAAACCCACGTGACAAGAATAGAGGAGAGAGTGGCCACGGTGTGTCAGAGAGAAAACTCATTCTACGTCGATACAGTCCGCGCTTTTAGGGACAGAAGATACGAGTTCAAGGGACTTACAAAGGTCGGTCCATCACCAGGGGGTCCTGAATGTTAAAAAAAAAAGGGGGTCCCAAATTCTTTTGTTCTGCTGCTTCAGGTAAATATTTGAGTAAATATGATGTAATTTGGTCGTTGTTAATTCCAAATGACATGAGACAAGTCCTTGACTTCCAGTTTGTGTGGGTCAGCTTTCTCTGAGATAAAGGTATTGGCAAAGGTTTTTGTTCAAAATAGGAACTTTTCAAACTTTTGCCATTTGCTCTAATTAAAGAGCATTCTGACTTATCAGGATTTTAGAGTTGTATTTTATTCTTCCTTTTAAGATTTTTGTAAAATTTCTTTATTTTCCTGACATGTAGGTGTGGAAGAACAAGGTGTCAGAGGCCGAGAAGAAGAAGGATCCTGCGGAGATCAAAAGAGCAAATGGTTTGCTGGTGCTCTATGACTCCTTGCAGCTGGCACACAAATGTATCCTGAACTCTTTCTACGGCTACGTGATGAGGAAAGGGTAGGACTTTTATTATGACATTTCATCAAACTTGTTCTATTTTTTTCTTCATGTATTATAATTTTTTTCAAAAGGTTTTTTTCATTTTTTATTTATCTGAAATTGGTGTCAAAACTGCACTCTGTTAAATGCCTGGGTTAATTCCTGTATGTACTTTGTACCGTTAAAATGGCCTCGCAAGGAGGGATTACGCATGCACCCACGCACTTCTGTTTCAAGTATGAAATTTTTACGATTATCAGCAGATTTCCATCTTTTTGGGAGCCAAAAGCATCATTGGTCTAGGTGGCCCCCAGGACCCATTGCCATATTTTTCTATCTTCTCAATAAATGGCAGTCTTATTCCTGACCTCTCTTTTGATAATTAGATGTTCATGTGTTTTATAATTCAGTGCCCGCTGGTATTGCATGGAGATGGCAGGCATTGTATGTCACACTGGAGCCAACATTATTATGCAGGCCAGAGAACTCATTGAACAAATTGGGTAAGAAATGGGGATTATACAGATATCTTAAACTACTTATTAAATGAGAGTCCATCAAAAAAACTGGGCAAGAAATAGAAATTATGGAGATTTTTATAATGCTGATTAAATGGGGGTTCGGGGAAGGAAATGAAAATTGTAGACCGCAACATTTTTATCTGTAATTGATAATTTAGTAAATCCAGGGCTTTTCTTGGTTGCAGGAGACCCCTAGAGTTGGATACAGATGGAATTTGGTGCATTCTGCCAGCATCCTTTCCAGAAAATTACGTCATCAAGACAACAAACCCCAAGAAATCCAAAGTGACCATCTCCTACTCTGGTGCTATGTTGAATATTATGGTCAAGGTGGGGTTCGGTGTCTGTAATGGAAATATCTATATTTAATATGACTTGAGTTTAATTCTTATGGAATATGATTTATATGAAAATGTAGATACTAGAATATATATATTTTTTTTGAATACAAAGAATTTTTTTAATTTTTGAGTCCTTGACACTTAACAGAAATAACTGATGTTCTTGCAGCATAAGATTTCAATTTGCCTAACTTTGAGGTTATCCAGCAGCCATTTTTTACACATAAAAAGCAATTTTTCTTATAATATACACATGTACATGTATAGTGATTCCTAACACCGAAGATACCTTAGTTTATATTAATTGTTTTATATCAAATTTTTTGCTTATTCCTCCCCAGGACAGCTACACCAACCCCCAGTATCACGAACTGGTAGACCCCAAGACCCTGAAGTACGAAGTGCGAGCCGAGAACTCCATCTTCTTTGAGGTGGACGGTCCGTACCTGTCCATGATACTGCCCGCGTCCAAGGAGGAGGGGAAGAAGTTAAAGAAGAGATACGCTGTGTTTAATTTTGATGGCTCTCTGGCTGAGTTAAAGGTGGGCCTCTTACATATGTTACAGTGTATACATATCCATTTATATAGATCTGAAGTTCAATTGTCTATACATAGGGTAACAAAAATAAAAGAGAAATAAACTAAATTACCCTCTTAAGAGAACCCAACAAGGGATGAAAAATCTTGGGAAGGGAAAAGATGTATCTGTTCATTTCTGTATAAATCAAATTTCTGAGGACTTAGTTTTCATTTTCAAGAAGTCTTGGTTGCCTTTGTGAAAACTTTATGCTATTATATGGCACCATTGCAACCACTTATTGTTTCTCTTTCTTGGCCTGTATGTTTTTCATTTATAATTTGTGTTTTTTCCCCCAGGGTTTTGAAGTAAAGAGAAGAGGAGAGTTACAGCTCATTAAGATCTTCCAGTCGTCCGTGTTTGAGGCATTTTTAAAAGGCAGTACAAGAGAGGAGTGTTATGCCTGTGTCGCCAAAGTCGCAGATTATTGGTTAGATGTCTTGTACAGTAAGGTGAGAATTTACAGATATGAAAGTTTTAAAAGAAGTTCCTATTTCTTGTGAACTGTGTTTCTTTGATTGAGATTCACACAAGTTGTGGAATTTCTGCCAACCGTTCTAATGGAGACTATAGTAATGGGAGCTTACTGACTAAAATTACTTAGATGAAAACCAGACACAAAAATGTGAATTTGACCCGGATTTTTAGGAAATTGTGTCAAAAATTCTGACCACAAGCATTTTCTAATGAAATTTTCCTTACAAACAATCATTATGGTACATTTTTTTCTATCTACATTCCAGGCAGCCAACATGCCCGACTCGGAGCTGTTTGAGTTGATCTCAGAAAACAGAAGCATGTCAAGGAAACTTTCGGACTACGGTGGCCAGAAGTCCACCTCCATCAGCACTGCTAAAAGACTGGCCGAGGTGAGCCACTTCTCTGAACCAGTGTTACAAAGAAATTTGGCCAAAATTATGTCTGTTGTTGTTCACTTTAAGGGAATATTGCACCCTTTTATGACAGATCAATACCAAAACTTTTTAGTGGACAACCATAGATTTATCCTGAACTGTTGCAGACTAAATGCAAACTGTGAGTTTGAGTTAATTGGTTTTTTGACACATACATTACACATACTTATATTTTCTTTTTAAGGAAAGAACCTTTTTTTAGTGAAACCCTCAGTAAAAATGAGACAATATCTCCACATTTTTTATTTCACTTTGAATTTTGAACTTAATTATTCCCCAGTTCCTTGGAGATCAAATGGTGAAGGATGCTGGACTGGCGTGCAAGTTTGTCATCTCTAAGAAACCTGAGGGGTCCCCTGTCACTGAGAGGTGCGGAATATGGGAAATATGTGTAGCAACTAGCCAGTAAATGAGATGTTCCAATTTTGATAAATTTTCTCTAATGGAAGACTCTCTGAAGAGGGTTAAAAAAAGAAAAATGTGTATTATAATTATCCTGTTAATAAAGTGTAAATTATACCAAAAAGCAGTAATTGTAGATACTGCAAAGCAGTGTAGAACATTTATTTTTTGTTTGTTGAAAAGTTTCATTTGTAAGCAGAAGATATATTGACTGGTAAATTTTGTGTCCATTTATCAAGCTATTTAAAAATAACTTTGACATCTTGCTCTCATCTGTAAATGATTGACAACATTTTGTACAATGTATGTCAAATATCCTATCTCACCTGACAGACTGTTTCTTATATGATGTATATTTTAAAATATTTTGTTCCAGGGCCATTCCGCTGGCCATCTTCCAGGCAGAGCCAGGAGTGAAGAAACATTACCTGAAGAAGTGGCTGAAGAGTCCTTCCATGTCTGACTTTGATATTAGAGCTGTAAGTCTTCTGTCTGTTTGTCTGACTGCCCGTCTGTCTGTCTTGACAGCATGTGTGATTGTGTAAAAGAGGGGATATGATAAGGAAGGGAAAAGATGGTCTTATGTGTGTGTGTGTGTGTGTGTGTGTGTGTGTGTGTGTGTGTGTGTGTGTGTGTGTGTTTGTGTGTCAGCTAGAAATAATTTTTGTTTGACATGCATGATTGTGCAGAAAAAGAGTAAGAAAAGATTATCACATTATCCTTATGACCAACTTCATAATTCTCTTCCATCAGATCCTGGACTGGGAGTACTACATAGAAAGACTGGGTAGCTGTGTCCAGAAGATTATCACAATTCCAGCTGCTTTACAGGGGGTATGTTTGATGATTTTATAGTTTTATTGTCGGGCAGTAAACATGCCAGTATCCATCATGGCTCAAAAACTAGAAACTAGGAAATCAAAAATGGGTGTACAGATCCTAATTTTGTCATTGGCTTTGGATATGGTAAATACATCTGTGGTTGAGTGAGAAAGTGTAAAAAAAATTTAGGAAAACAGAATTTGTAGTACTGCATTAAGGGTATAATGCTCATTGTTTGGGTTTAGAGGTTAAAACTTCATTAAAATTCTTGGAAATTCATCAGGCCAAATGATTAATTCAGTATATATTTCCTTGAACTATTATTCTCCATTTTCTAGGTTGCCAATCCCGTCCCCAGGGTGCGCCACCCGGACTGGCTGCACAAGAAACTCTTGGAGAAGAACGACATCTATAAACAGAAGAGAATTAATGAAATATTTGCCCCAGTTCCAAAGCCTAATCCTCCAGAGGTAAATAATAGTTTTATATTTAATTTGATTTAATTTATAACTTTATCATTCCCAAGTTCTTTGGTGATCGGATTGTGAAGGATGCTGTATTGACCATAGTGAGGGTCGAGAATTACACGAAAATTCAGCATGTGTGTTAAGACATTTGAATGTTAAAACTGTAGTTGCCTGTGACATACATTGTACTTGTAGTCAGGTTACTAAAAATTAAAAAATTCAAGAGATTTTACAAAATGTTTTATCTATGATATAATAAAAGGTGATTAAAAGTTTTCAATGTCAGTTCTTTTATTTTATTTTTGATCATTTATGAAAATTTTCCAAAATATTTTAATAATGATAAGATGTTTTTAATAATTTATTTGTTTGAGTTTATTATGAATTGTCATTGTTTATCCCCAGGAGAGCTCTGAGAGCCCTATGGACACCTCCCAAAATGTGGGGGACATTGAAGATATCGGAGATAAAAGTCACAAGAAACAAAATGGTGTCCATTTGGTGTCTGTCACCACAAATAACCGCAAACGTGGCCGAGGGGATGCCGAGAGTTCACAGGGGGTCTCTCAGGAGGATTCAGACCTTACCAAGTCATGGAGAGAGGTTCTTGGAGCACCGCCGCCACTGGGGAAGACAAAGGTAAAACTGTGCAGACGTACAAATAGTATAAAAGATTGCACTCCAGGACTATAAAAATGTATTTAAAAAACCCTAAATAAATGATCTACCGACTTTGTTAATAGAGAGTCACCGTAATACCCATCTTTATCCATTTTTGTCTGACATTTTTCCTTTTCCCTAAAATTCAGGAGGAGCACCGGGCATGGCTGGAGTTTCACAAGAAAAAATGGGAGTTCCAGCGACGCCAGAGACAGCAGCAGCAGAAACGCAGGCGTCTTGATACAGGATTTGAGCCTACAGGGGGCAGTGTGATAAGGAGCGGGCCAGCGACAGGTTTGGGGGGATTTTTTAGGAAGACTGCCAGAGCCATGTTTGACCTCCCCTGGCAGATTGTCCAGGTAATGGAATGAGTGAAACTAGGTTTCTTAGAAATGAAGAAAAAAGGAAAAAATGTGTTGATTAATGCTTTTGAATTTTTCAAACTTTTAACATTCCCTTTTTTCAAAGAATTATTTTTGTTACAAAGAGTGTTTTTTTGGACTCAGCTTTTCAGAACTTTTAGATTGTTTTTTCAGACAAAAAATTGTCAAAAATATGTCAGATTTGTTCAGATTTAGTAAATAGTTACTTTAGCCAAAAGTGAAATGTAATGACATCTGCACTGTTCTCTTATTCAGCAATTAATTTTACTGTCTTAACCAAAGATGACATCTTCCCTATGTTCTTTCACCATTCAGCAACTCATTTTCATATCACCATAGCAACCAAAGCTCTGTTCTATTTATAGATAGCAGAGACTGGTCATCCTGGATTGTTCAGATTGTGGGCGTTAATAGGAACTGACCTCCACGCTATCAAACTGACCGTCCCGAGGATATTTTACGTCAACCAGAAGTCAGCCAAGGAAGGAGAAGGACAGAGTAAGTTTTACAGTTTTTTTGCATTTTAAAATGTTTTATCAACAAGTTAAAATGAAAAGTAGATATGCTAATGGGGAGATTGGCAAATTGTTTGTGTGGAGATAATTTGTTATGTACTTTAACAAGGTGAATACATGTAGATGTTTTAATGATGGGTTAAAGTCAGCAGTGCCAAACAAGGTGGTTTTTCTGTTTCAGTGTGGAGAAAGGTGAACAGAACTCTGCCCAGGTCCCACCCAGTGTTTAACCTGTACGAGTACAACGTTCCTGAGGATGTGTATCTGGAACATATAAAGTGAGTGTCCGTGAAACTCAAGGCACACAGGTGTTCTAGCATTTGAATCAGAATATGGTTTGATCTTAATTATGATACTCATGTAAATTAAAAGTAACAGCACAAGGATTGAAGTCTACATTTCTAGTGTTACGACTTCAAGACAATTTTTCTGTCTACTTTCATCTTTTGACTTACTATGTCCAGGGAGTGAGAAAACTTTGCAAATTCACTGTCTTCAGAAAATCTCATCTTCAGTTCCTGGAGGAGGGAGTTGCACCATAATGATTTTCAAACTCTCATTTTCATCAAGATAATTTATCTGACAGATTGACATATGTCATTATTGTAACTTAAAGTTTTATAACCATAGTCATTGTAGTAAAATGCCTTAGAACCAATAACTTTTGAAAAAGACTGATAAACAAAAAAAAAAAAAAAACATATAGATGAAGACAAAAAGCAATATCAAAACATTAACAAGAACCATTCATTCTTTTTCTCTTGTCTTCAGTGAGATCAGTGCGGACCTGTCATCACCTGACATCGAGGGTGTCTACGAGACCCATGTTCCTCTCAGTTTCCGTGCTCTCGTCAAGCTAGGATGTGTCGTCACTGTGAACAAAGAGTTTATCAAACTGATGGGAGGAAGAGTGAGTTTTATTTGATATTCTTATTGGTTAGAATCATGTATTTGGTGCACATAAAGATTCACTATTGCTCTCTTTACTGTGCGACTATTCCAAATAAAGTAATTAAAAGCAGTGCAGCCTCTTACTTATTATAATTAGCATGACTAAGAGTAATTTCCGAGTTTTTTTTCTTGTTAGTTTGTGAATAATTTTTTCTTTCTTTCTTTTTAGGAACCAGAAACCTTTGACATAGAGCACCTGGATTTCAGGACCCTGGCACAGTTCCCGTACTTAGAACCAGGCTCCATGAAACACATCTATCTATACCATCATGTGTGGTGAGACTGAGCTTAGTTTTCATACAGTTAATACCTATGTTTTAAACGTCCAAAAATAAGTTTCTGTTTGCTTTTCCATCTTTATAAATACGAGTATTCTATTTTGGAGTAGAAAAAAGAAATGGAGAAGCAGAAGGTGATGGTGAAACAGAGCTATTATGTAATGATGATGCTAATATCATTATTGTTTCTATAATTATTTTATCATTTCAGTATTTTGTTTTTGTTTTTTTTTTAATATTATTTTTCTTTCTTCTCTGAAATGAATAGTTTGCTAAATGACATTATGCATTATTCTGGTCTGATAAATAATAATGACATCAAAGGACACATTTGGAACAACAAGTTACACTTCTTCCAGTCTTGCTAAGTTGTGGAATGCTGAATTAATGTGAAATTTGAATATTTTTCACTTCAGTGGCCACAAGATGATATTTGGTCTGTTTTTCCCAATGTCCAAGAAGGGGTCAGTGTTTGTGGTGGACACAGTGAGGAGTAACCAGATGCCCAACATGACTGCACTCTTTAATGCTGAGAGGAACAATAAGTAAGAGAGCAATAGAACAAAACCCACATGGGGATTTAAAGAGAAATATTGAGATAATTAAGATAACTACGGAGAAAGACAACTTATAAATAATAATCATCATTTGAAGTATTATTCATTTGAAATGCTCATGAAAATTTAAAATTTGGAAAATACCAGGTAAGTTGCTGAAATATTCTGTATAAGTCTTTTATTCCTATTCCTAAGTAGAATCATGTTAACGTTCCTATGAGCACAATCTATTTTGTTTTTGTAGAGTGACCAAATCAAACATGGCGGAGGAGCTCTTGCCAGCAGCGGGTCACACGTTTGATGTGCGTGTCGAGACAGACGTACGTCAGGTCCACAGAGCCATACAGAGGCTGCTGTCAGCTTACAAGGACGAGAAAAGAGGTGCCACGCTGATAGCTGTGCAGTCTCCCCACGGTATGGACGTCTTTTATGACAAAAATAATAACTGTAGCATTAAAATTAAATGACAGCACTATCCTGGGAGAGGACATGATAAATGATTTTTCTGTAAAACAACTATAACCGCATGTTCAGTTTCAAATTGAATATTTTCCTAGGAGTAAACTTTTGAGGACCAGTAGTCTCTGCATTGTTGTGGAATGTAAGATTATTTGTATGTCTTATATATCCGTTTTGTTGGTCCAGATTTCCAGCACTTAACCAGTGCCATGCCAGGTCTCACTGACTTCCCTATGGTGCCAGTTCACTACCTGGATAGGTGAGTTGCATTCTCTTCTCTTTTCTTTTTCCTGCCCCATTCTCTCTCTCTCTCTCATTTCTCTTCTTCAGCAGGATGCTCATTTCACAGAATAACATAATTAATGGCAGTATAATGTGACTAATTCATTACAATATACGAGGACAATATTAAACTATAATTAAAAAAACAACATTAACAACAGCAAAAAAAGAAAAGAAAAACAACCTCAACAACAACAACAAAAATGTCTGTGATCTTCCAGCCCAGAGTTGTACAGTGTTCTAGACTGGCAGAGGATGGGATCACGAAGGATGGTACAACATTACCTCAACCTGGAGATTGTGCTACAGGTAAATATGGTGGTGTGGTGCTTGTGCTGCTACTGTAAAAAATCCATATTGAAAGCGAGTCAGAGATTGGAATGTTCTAATTGTTATTCTGTTTTTGCATCAGCAAAGGAGGAATCTTGTACTAGTGTCTAGTAGTCTTCCATGTTTCAATTCATGAAAAATCTCAACTGTTGTCAACATTTGAAGCTATATTTTACTGTTTAGACTGCACCTTCATTGCTGCTAAGACAGCTGCCTATTTCCAGTTAGACCTGAGACCTATTTCTCGACTTTCCTTTGTGGTATTTGGGAATGTTTTCATTTCTGATACTGGAATACTTTCAAAAACACTTAAAACAAAGGTCACCTAATAATTTGGCTTTCTGAAACCCACCATTATTGATGAAAGAAAATTGTATCAAAAATCTTCCATTTTCAGACCATGATGGAGCAGTGTCGCTACTTCCACATTCCACTTGGTAATATGCCCAAAGACCCAACCATGTTTGGCTGCGATCTGTTTTTCGCGCGTCATCTTCAGAAGCACAATCACGTGCTTTGGTGTTCGCGCTCAGAGAGGCCTGATCTGGGTGGGAAGGAGGCAGACGACAATAGGTACTTGTAAATCTCTGTAATTTAGCAGACTACAGGAAACAATATGGTCTTATTTGGGTACTGTAAATTCAGATTTGTGGCTTCAACAAATAATAAATAATTATCAACAAAGGAACTTATAGTGAAAAATTTATTTCAGGCTACTTACAGAATTTGAAGAAAGCAGTAGCATCGAGATCAACAATTCTGGAAGTTACTCTACAGTCTGTATAGAGCTAGATCTGGCTAGCCTTGCTGTCAATACCATTCTAGAGGTAATATTCTACTGTCTGTATAGAGCTAGATCTGGCTAGTCTTGCTGTCAGTACCATTCTAGAGGTAATATTGTTTGTGTGTGTAATAGAAATTTCTTTATTTAATTGCACAGTTTCATTAAGGTCATCAAAATAGCTCTTAATGGGTGCCAAATAGCAGCTTTGTGAAAAAACTAGACTAACATGATGATTCATATGATTTCATCATGTAAATCATTGTCACAACCCCCACCATCCCCATCTAAAAGGCCTTGGAGCCATTTTTTCCTAGTTTTTTCCTTACAACCCAAAATCGTTTCTGTATTCCAGTCTCAACATGTCAATGACTATGAGGGAGCCAGCCTGGTTAACTTCGACACCACCCCCCAGGTGTCACTAGAAGACATGGTACAGGGTCAAGGCGCGGCCACAATGCTGGCCAGCTATGATGAGACAGCCCTCTGCTCAGCCACCTTCAGGTAAACATGCTAACAACAATAAAATTCGGTCCCTGTTTAAAAAAAAAGGTTGACATTAATTGTCCCATTTCTCCAAATTTGTATCAGGATTTTTAATAAATTTAATTACATTTTGTCTATTTATAAAATGCTCAATGATTTAAAATAATAGCTGACATTTTTATTTTGTGCATGAATAAGTTTCAAATCCAACTTTATGGGACTTTAAAAAAACCTATAAATAAAACTTGTAAAAATTTGATATTTTAGGATATTAAAAAGCATGGTCCAGGGCTGGGTGAGAGATGTCACTCATTACGGCAATGTCTTTGCAGACTATCAAATTGTCCACTTCTACAGGTAAGTTGATAATAGATTTTAAGACTTGCCATTTTTAGTTGGTATGAAGTTCATTCCAGAATAAATTTCACCAGGAACATTCTGAATTGTCAGAAATTTACTGTTTATAAAACATTAATTGCTTGGTGGTCTAGAGAAAGTTTGAAATTTTAAATGGGCCCTATACTCTAAATCCTTGCAATATCTTAGTCATTTTGTTTAAAAAACTTTTGCTGAACATCTTTAAGAGAATTTGGCCCATGACAGATTTCTATGCGGAAGTAATGATGTTTTATAAATACAGGTACTTACTACTTGAATTTCAAATAGTGCCAGACTTCCAGTTATACATTTAATATTGTAAGTGCATTAATGACAATATTTAATTAGTACAAGTCTGTTTAGCCTTGTATATATTATATTTCCAATGTATCATATCTCCAGATGGCTTCGGCATACAGGAGCATTGCTATATGACCCTGCCTTGAGACGCACCCTGCATAACATGATGAAGAAACTGTTCATGCAGGTAGGGCTTTCCTTGTTAATAACTTTGTATACTGAAATACCTTTTGATTGCGGGGTGATTGTAGTGACAGTCACTAGTAACTGATTATAATTTAAAGGTGCTAATATTTAAAAAAAGATTTTTTGTGGTATACTCCTGGTCTTGTATTCTATTACATGTACATGTGATGATATGAAAAATATTATGCAAAATATCGTGAAATGTTTAAAAAAGTAGTCAGTTAGATTGGCTTTAATATTTCCAGTTGATAGCAGAGTTCAAACGTTTGGGTTCCAACATAGTGTACGCCAGCTTTAATCGGGTCATCTTAAGTACCAAGAAAAGGCGAATTTCTGACGCCATTGCCTATGTGGAGTATATCACCAATAGTATCCGTGCCAAGGAGTTGTATCGCTGTATTGATATCCAGTACAAGGAATGCTGGGAGTTTCTGATGTGGCTTGATGCGGTAAGTTGGTGATATTGCTTTATTTTTATTTATTTATTCTTTTTTCGCTGGGTGGGGAGGTTAAGAAATTCTTATAACATCCTTTTTGAAATAACTGTAGCATGAGATGATGTTCTTACTTTCTAAGGCACAAACAGTATTCTAAGTTGTAGCAGAAAGTAAAATTTAGTTATAAGAATATGTTCAATTCTATTTTAGAGTTAGCAGATCGCTTTGATTTTCTGAATCTATTTTATTGCTTTTTACAAATTATTTCAAGAGAAATATTTTTCTCTAGGCAAATTATGGTGGTGTGAAGGGAAAATTTGATGTGCCTTCTCTTACTGAAGAAGAAGAGGCGCAATCACAGCGTGAGAAGGAAAGACAAAAGGAGAAAGAGGGAGATGAGGGAAGTGATGATGAGGATGAAGGAGGTTTAGAAAAAGAAGACGAAGAAGTGTTGAACCTGTCTGATGACGATGACGATGTGAGTAGTAGCTGTAAAAAGTACTGTGGGGAAAAATATTTTAAACAACTTCCTCTGATTTTAAGTCACTCATTTAATCTTTTTTATCGACAGACACTACTTTCAGATGATTATGAAAAGATTAAGAATAAACTATTATCCTCAAAAGTTAAAATTACATTATTTTATTTAAAAATTACATTCCTGTTTGGGTAACTGTGTGGAACAAAAATTTTCTGACAGTTGGAAAATGTTTTTCTGAGAATAAAGAATTGTTAAGGGCTAAAGTAGATCAATTTTTTTTTTCTGAATGTTTTTCAAATTTATTTTTTCTATTTTCTAGCCTGTGATAGAGATGAACTGGAATATAGTACACTACCTGCCAGAAGCTGCAGCCTGCCAAACCAACTTCAATGTAAGTATTAAATCATGTGCACTTTTAGGATAAAAGTAAAACTTCTTTGTTTAAAATTTACAGGATAAATAAATCTTTAAGATTTTGAAAAAGAGAAAATCGTCATTTCCATTTCCTGTCAGTAAGAGATGATGGAAAACTGTGATAAAATTAAGGTTAAATCAATTGAAAGACTTTGCATCAAAGTATCGGTTATGAAAAATTATTTTGGTCCCTATCTTTAAACAAGGTACTCCTTATAGAAATATCGCTGTACAGTACATGTGTAGGTGTATTTGTACTGGTTTTTTAAACAATGGAACTCCAGTTTTACATTTTTCATGATATTTGTGATTTGAAAAAAGGATCCCTAAGTCTCATTTACTGGTTTTTAACAGAGTTTCAACTGTATCTTTCAGATGATTGTAGCAGGCTACATCCTGGCTGTTTATAAACAAGTCCAGGAAGAGGCTCGCTCTATGACGCCAGGGAACACACCAATCAGACGCCGGCACACAAGTCAAAGTCAAACGCAGACGAACCCTGCTGTGAAGTCAATGGATGGGGCAGCCACGCCCGCACAGGTGGAATTTTCTCAGAATTTGATTGAGGGAGATCTTACGCAGCAGATGTTTGGGTAAGTTATGCTTTATGATTACAATGTACTACGTGTGCATGTACACAGGGATGAGATTTTTCCGACTTTTGGTGGATTTCAGACTTTTTGGGAGCCAATATACCACTTTTGAGATCAATACATGTCTGCATGAGCATGATACATTGCATCTTTATTGCATTACCTTGATGCTCAATACAACAGTTAAAAAAACAGTTCATAACATTTTTTCCTAATTAAACTTTATATTTCTTTTTTTTTTTAAAGGAAAATTATTGTGAATAATAGATCGGTTTTGAGATAATAGTTTCAAGTTCTATACCAATCTTCTTCAGGATTACCCAGAAAATTCAGAAGAAGATAGCAGGGAACAGGAACACTCTGGGAGATGCTGCCACAGAGTTTCCCATACTCCCAGGATCCCATCTTCCTCTTAGTAATCCAGCTCTGGAGTTTGTTAAGGCTGTTTGTAAGGTACTTAATTCAAAAGCTTGTACTAGATTGAACATTTTAGCTGCATGAAATTTCAGTTCTTTGCAAAAGTTAAATGCAACTTTTGGTGTTATGCACTTTGTGTGAAATGATCCCCTTTTCCCTGATATACAGTGACTTAGAAATGCCCTCTCTCAGACTGTTGTTCCAAAGTGACTCCCAAATTTGGAATTGTTGTCAACTGTCTCAGCACAAGTCTGCCTGTAATTTTATATTTAATTTTTTGCTCATATTTCAAGGTTCATTGACATATGCCCCCCCCCTCCCCCTCCATCCCCAACTTGTGAAATATGTCTAACATTTGCCAAAAGAAATGTTTTCTTTATATATACTGTCTTCAGGTTCTGGAGCTGGACTCCAACATCAGTCTCCCTGTGATGAAGATGAAAAGGGACCTGCTGAAACTGATAGGAGTTGGAGAATTCTCCAATGATGCTGAATGGAGGGACCCCTGTCTCTCATACACCCTGCCAGAGGTGAGTTAACATGTCATATCATGAACTGCTATTTAGAAGGTCCTGGATTTATTGAGACACTATATGCATTGACTGCCAAGCTGGATAATTTATAATCGCCCAAGTTGTCAGAGGTCCATTCAAACTGACTGTCCTCCTTCCAAATTGGCAACATTTCATTCAACTCAGTGTCCAGTCCAAGCTAACAGTTGTGTTAACTGCTTATTTATGAATGTATGAATATCTTCGTTTTAGGTGATATGTAAAACCTGTAACTACATCCGTGACCTTGACCTCTGTAGAGATCCATTACTTCTGCAAGAGGGGGAATCCATGTAAGTATAATATTTGCACTGGAAATGAAATTCCGTCGGAGGACCCTTATCTTGATACTTGACTTATATATTTAAAACTTTATTTTTGAACATTTCCTTTAAATCGAGTTACAGATAAAATGATGATGCATCTAGAAATTATCAAAGCACTCAGAGAGTGCAGACCTCTGCCAAGAAAAATTGTTAACTCATACATAACATACAGACAAACAAAAACAAACAGAATCAAATATGTGACTTCCTTGGTGGAGGCAATAAGTTTATAAGTATATACAACCAAGTGATGAGTTGTTTGATTTTAAAAACATAAATTCATGTTTATACTGATTTATAGTGATTAGTTGTTTGGTTTTATTGTTGATTGTGCTGTTTTCCAGGTCAGTTTGGCAGTGTCCACAGTGTAACAATGAGTACGACACAGATGAGATAGAACAAGCACTGGTAGACGCTGTGCAGAGGAAGTCTATGGGATATGTTCTGCAGGATTTGAAATGCAAGAAATGTCATGGGGTGAGTGTGGGAAACAATTAATACAGTTGTTTAAAATGGGCTGTTTATGTTATTATGTTTGGTTTTTTATGTTATTTCTAAGTTTTTATTATTATTATTTTTTTAAGTTGAGCTGTGTTGAATAGCTGCATTGTCCAGTTAAATTTAGTATGCCTTTGGTCAATCATTGGTACTTTAAAAGTGGTTTAAAGATTGTAAGTACACACAATCACATATAACTGTGATTAAGAGGAAATTGCTGAAAATTTTTAAATTTTTTTTTTTTTTTTAGTTTTCATTTCGATGCATGGCATCTAGCATTGTCTTATGTCTTGTCAGAAAACAAATTTAAGACAATATCAATTATCCCTAATATATAATATTTGGAAAAAAAAAGATTACAGACGATAGTTTTTATCCATAATATTACACATATAATTGTTCATATTTAATGTCTCAGGTAAAGGAATCCAATATGTCCAAGTACTGCACCTGTGCTGGAGACTTCAGCAACACTGTGTCTCTGGAAGACCTGGGAAAGAAGCTTAGAACCTTCAGAAATATTGCAAGGTAAGAATTAGAGAAAACTACTTTAAGCAGATGTTTGCCAAGGAAGCTCAGTTATCATTATTGATTAATAATTAATTAATGGATCACCACCATAATCTCATCGATTCTTAGCTTGCCAATTTCTGACTTATTTTGAAAACTTTATTAAATCAATTAAATCGATTAAATTTATTTTGGTTAAGATGCTTACAGCTTTTAAGCATTTTTTATCATTAAATTAAGATAATGTTTTATTTTTCAGTCACTACAACATGGCTCAGTTGTTGGAAGTGGTGGAGTGGATCCTAAAGATGAATCCTCAGATAAATACACCATAATCTGGAATACAAATTGACTCGGGATTCACAGTGGTGTAGAATGAACTAGAGACTAAATATAATCAGCAGAGTTGGATGAGACAATTTTTTTGAGAGAACCTAATAAATTTATTTAATTGTGAAGATATTTATCCTAAGGATAATGACATGGATTATTTGTTTTCATGTGAAAAGATGATACAAGAAAGGAAAAGCCAAAGGCAAACTTGTATTTTAGTCGTATAAGTCAGTTCATTTTACTGTCTGTAAACCATGACTTGTCCATCAAAATTTGCCTAGATCCTATGAGTACATGTTTATTAGGTGACAAATGAAAAAAAAAAACACAAACAACCATGTTTCCCAAACACTGTGAATGCACATGTACAAAATGACTTCAACAGTGATTTGAAAAATGGCACCTCTTCATCATTTGATTGGATTTTTACAGATGAATAAACATGATCATTACTGTTATTTTTTATTTTATTTTATTTTATTGCCATTTTAGCCATTTTATTGCATAAAAAAACTGCTACGGTTTCTGATAAGCCTAATTGGGGGGGGGGGGGGTCTTATGAACTTCATGCTCAGTACAAAGTGACAATTCCATTTTCGACATACATTAAAAAAAATTAAGTTTGCAATGATTTGATTTTGGGGTACAAAATTTCAAGTAACGGTCCTCTTAGGAAAAACACGTGCCACTTTTAGACCAGACTTTCGTCGAGTTTAAAATCTGCATTTTTCATTGTGCGTCTACAACAAATTCAAAGTTTTTGTTCGTTAAAATTTCAAAAGGTGTCATTAATCATTTACATAGTTGCCAGTATTTACATCACGGCTACGGATATTGCAAAGTGTGGCGCGAAACGCACGTCGCGGACTATTTTGTTCAAGCGCGTAGCTATTTTTGTACTGATCACGTCTCACGCATTGATACATATGATGTCGACTCTGCAGAGAGACTGCGAGGGGAAACTGAAACCGCTCTCTCCATTCACGGATTTTTACGGTTACCGTTGACCTGGTCAACCAGAAAAATGACCGAAGAGCTAACATACGCACCGGTGAGTAGCAGTGTAGTGTCATAATTTACAGTTTGAGTTATGAATTCCGGAAATTTTAGGAAAAATTATAGCATCTGTCTTGCACTCTGGGAATGTTTGTGGTGATTGCCATTCATTATTTACGGATTTGTACGGTGATCGTTGTCCTGAAAACCAAAATTATGACCATGGAGTTAACATACGCATCAGTGAGTAGTACTGTTATGTCAGCATTTACAGTTTCAGTTATGAATTCGGGTACCTTTAGGGAAAATATGGCATCTGTCTTGCTCTCTGCCAAGGTTCGTGGGGATTGCCTATGTAGACTTCTACTATGTACTAGTAGGGTAATTCTCTCTAAATGTACTTGCACACGTCGCTCTCACGTGTCTAATATCACAAAGACACTGTTGTAGTCTGTTGGTAGAGTTGAAATCATTTTTGTTGTTCATTTACAGGTTGTTAATGAGAAAAAACACTAGCGAAATCTCCTCATCGTCTCTTGCATCAGCCTTTAGTGTAGGCAGACTGACCTAAATTAGTTCACAGGTTACTCACATGTACCATGCATAAAGAGCCTGGTGTTAAAATCACCACAGCTGTTTAAATCAAATCAGGGCAAAACTTGGTTGGGGTCAAGGCCTATACATTTAATGTGCTAACGTTTTCTTGGCATTTCCATGGTTTCTCACACTTCATAATAATAATATTGGTATCTTTTAGAAATAAAATAAAATAAATATAAAAAACCTTCCACCTGATACTACCTTCACCCACAAAGGACATTTTGTTTTTATCCATGAATTTGGTTTTGTTTGTCTGTCAAACTCTATATTTAGAATGCTGCCTGCATCAGTTTTACATTAAATAATTTACTTGCAAATATCACTAGGCCTACACATACCACCATGCAATAATCCTTAAAAACCTATTCACAGAGATGAACACATCATGTTTATGTTATTGAAAGAGAAAGAGGAAGGGGGATTTAAATTAAAGAATTAAAGACAATATAAAGTTCAAGTCCTGCTGCAATATTTTAAATCATATAATTATTATTTTCGCTTTTTAAGCCCCCCCCCCCCCCACACACACACACACACACCCCTTTCCAGCTCAACATTTATAGAGAAAGGCCACATCAGTATCAAATCATCATGATATATGATAACTCAAGATTCAGAAGATAGATAAAATTAAGATGCTACTTTTCAAGTGCTTGCCAGTACAGTCATTCCAGCCTAAATGTATGCAGTGTTCACATATACCATGTGTATAATACCTGTATTGGTCATTATCAAAGCAGCACCATCATATATATTTCAGTAAGTTAACAGAGCTGGGTGTTTGCATGGTCAACACTCGACAAAAAGGGGAACAATGAGATGACATAATATGGAAAGGATCAAATTTCAATTTTATACTGGGAACCCACAAAAGGAGATTTGGTCGAGGTCTTCAAATTCTAACCTTAAGTGTTGTTCAGTACAATCATGAAATTCCTGAATATAACCCTCTGTCAGTGGAATTATATCAGAGAGTTCCCATATTACTAGTACTTATAAAACAATTCTTCAATATAAAGGGATTTGAATGATTTGCATTGTGATAATAGAAACTTTGAACGTGACCTGTGCGCTCTATTCATTCAATGAAAAGGTAACTCCATGTATTGAAAAATCTATATGCGGTAGTGATTAAGCAAAATTTCCAAAGTGCCATGGATTTTATTTTGAAGAGCTTGAGGGGCACCTCAATATTATGACTTGCATTTTTGAAAAAAAAAATCAAGAAAAATCCTATTGATTAAGCATGTCCATTTCAAACATACAAAATGAACAATAAATAACAGTATTTGAAGAATATATCAATGTCATTGTATGTGGCCCATGAAGTTAAATAATTAAATGAAGCACTATGATGGTACTTTAAGTTTGTTTATCAGTATTCATATAGTGTGTGATCCAGTCTAAACTAGTTCAATTATGACAACTGAGGTAAAAACATGGGACTGTTTTCAGGCCAAATATAGCCAAGTTGTTTTTGTTATGATTTTAAATCTATTCCAGTCCCACGACTTTGATGTTAAGGAGTGGGCACGACCAAGATAAGATTGCTTTAACAATTTCTTTTCCTCTCCTTCCCATTTTTTTTTTATTTATAAATCCTCTTAAGATTAAGGCCCGTGCATATTAGAGAGTAGGATTTAATATCATATAATTATATAGTGCTGTTCTCTCTTTTTTAGCCCATGAGCAAGACACAGTTTTAGAAGGCTGTCGTGAACAAACATATTTGGACATTAGATGTATAAGCCTTACTAAAAATCACTGTGATAATTCCTCCTTTTTTTGTTACCAATGGGTGAATATCTTGGGTCTGGGTCATTGCCATTTTGAAGGCAACTGTATCATATTTTGTGACATTTTTTCTTCAGTGTCAAAGCATGCCTCATCGCACAATGATTATCACATCAACTTCTGTAAAATCTGCCCCTATCTAGACTGCACTGCCATATTGTACTGTTTGATATCCCATCGGGTCATGTTTTTCTCTGTGGTTTTCTCAAGTTCATCAACAAGCCAGGCGGGGTGATGAAGGTCATGACATTTTACCAGCAGTACACACATACTGTTATATGTTAATTTGCAAGGATTATAACTGGTGTATCTCATGTTTATATAAATTTAAGTTTATCTTGAAGTTAGCTTTTTCTTTCATTCTTCATTTTAAATGCTTTAAATCATTAATCTCTTATCGTCTCAATATTTTTCTCCCTATCAAAGGGTAATAATAAGTAATGTCATTTTATTTGTCTCTTAGATGAGCAGCTGAAGTTTCTGAAATTTACTCCTATGTATTAGGTTAATAAAGAACTGCATGTAATCTGTATCAAGTCAATAAATCAAGTTATAAAAGGACTTCAAAGCTATCCACAGAAAGTGCATTGTGATAAGGGAAGTTTATATTTGGTTAATAGCTTTTACTCATGAAAGTGAACAGTAGCAGGTAAAAAAAGTGTCCTAAAATAATGATTTTTTTTTTTTAATGAGATAGTGACTGCTGAATACTGAAGTGCCTGAGAACTTTTAACACTAAATCTGGCCCATTTTTGCAGTGTCTTACTTTTAATGGAATGGGGCACAACATTTCATTGAATTGGACTTAAACGCTGACTTACTGGATAAAATTTGAGTAGAATTTTGATCGAAAATTTAGACTTGATTTCAGGCAAAAGTTACATATCAAATATATTATTCAAATTAGTGCAACTGGACTGTGCTGACCCCAAATGTCATATCTGGTGAAGTGTTTTCAGCATCTTAGTTTACTTTAGTTAATGTTCTTGTATGTTTGTTGACCCAAACGTCTACATTTAAGATTTAATCCACAACCTTTTCACTGTATTTGATAATTTCCTGATAAGGCTTAAATTTGGTAAACAAAACCGTGTTATGTCCTCACTTAAACTGGCCGGCTCTTAATTGCACTGTCAACTGTTATTCAAAATAATTTAATTATTTTTTTATATGAACATTTAACAAGTTTAATCTTGAAAAGCAGTTATCGAAATGGAAATTAACAACTCTGGTTAAAAATGTTTAGAGTCAGATTGCTCCAAACTTGCGTCTGCATATTGTGAAAATCCTAGATCTGATATTTTTTTAAGGACATGCGCACAAATACACAAACACACACACGCACACACACAACAAGAGCATGCCGATGTAGCAACACTGCGTCAAATGGCAATATTTATTCCTACATGGTGACTCACACTCATCAATGTTTGCATGTCCTCCATTGTTAAAATAGCAATAAATTTCTCATTATCACCTTAATACAGAAAGTTGGAGATGTAAAGGTCCTTTCACGTAGAGTGTTATATCTTACTAGCATTCTATCTGCCATATAGCAGTAGGTATTGATAGGTTCTACCATGTAACTACACTACAGGATCCTGAACTCACTCTCAAAAGTTTGCCCCCCCACTGTTAGGGAGAAATTTTACCTGGAACGAGAGCTCTTAAACACAGTAGAAATATGTCCAACTAAAGTTATTGGGCGGTGTTGGGCTCCTTTTAGGTGTTTCTTTATGTTTGACAGATCAGGGGCGTAACCAGGCATACGCACGGATGCACTGTGCGTACAATTTTTTGAGCCAACCATGATATTATTCTCCACAAATTCAGTGTATTTTTCACGGAATATAATCGTACCTGGGAATTTTCAAAATCTGTGCGTACAATTTTAAAAGGTCTGGTTACGCCCCTGCAGATGGGCAATTACATACACTAAGCTGACATTCTCTCAAAGTCTACTGCTATAAATAAAACGCTTACATATAATGCTTGATGTGAAAATGCCTGATGATAATTCTGTAATACTAGTTTACTAGTACTAGAATTTTCCCTTGTCTATATATTAAACAATTGTACCCATTACTGAATAGTTCAGATTGCGGATATTTAGCATGCACGAGGAAAAAACTTCTTTAAAACTTATATTTCTCTTGAATTGAAAAATATGAAAAATGACATGAAATTGTTGCACCTTCCAGACAACAGAAGAAATCAAGGACCCAGAGAAGTCCCTGACCACGGAGACCTCCGAGGATGGGGATGAGAATCAAGAGCGCGGCAACTGGGGGAGCAAGCTGGAGTTTGTCTGCTCGTGTCTCAGCTTCGCTGTTGGGCTGGGAAATATCTGGCGGTTTCCTTACATTTGTTATGTGAATGGAGGGGGTAAGAAGAACACCATCCCCCCCCCCCCCCCCCAAGTTGTTTTATGAAAATGCTATTATATAGAAAGAGAATGCGCACAACATGTTAAAAGCAATCTAAATATCTAGAAATACATGTACATGTATTATGGGATATAGCAAATCAAGTAAAGTGAAATTTTCTCAGAATAAAGAACATCATCTGGCTAAAAGATTAAGTAGAAAAATCTATACAAGAGCAAGTATCTCCTTCAGCACAATGTACTTGGTCTTTCAATTTCTCGTATTATATATTATAAGCCTAGCTGAAGAAAGGATATCTCCATTCCAGGTGCCTTCCTGCTCCCTTTCACCATCATGTTGGTCCTGGCGGGGATTCCCCTGATGTTCATGGAGTTATCATTTGGTCAGTATGCCAGCCAGGGTGTTATATCAGTATGGCAGGCCAGCCCTCTGTTTCAGGGTAAGTATGTCAAGGTCAGGCCGTAGCAAAGGTCATATGAAGGTCAGGTGTTGAGGGCAAGTCAAGCACATACTTATTGCATGTTGAAAAGGGTTTAAAGTACATTTTATTACAAATTATTATGATCTGAAAAAATAGAAATGTCATAAGTTTTGTTTTGTTTTTGTTTTTTCAATCAATGTCTGGTTATATAGTAAGATGTGTGAAGATTCAGGCCCTCCTTATACCTGTGCCATAAAGACAGATGAATAAAAAAAAAGTCCACACAGACACTGTATACCTGGCATGTCATCGTCACATTACCGACTACTTCAGCACTTATTAATATCCTTCTTGTCTTTTTTTAATGGCCATTATCTCGAGTCAAGTGTGTGTAGATTTAGAAAAGACTCCAATTATATCTACAAAGAATTTTAAAGAGCTGGCAGTGAACTTTGATAGCGAGGAATTCTTTTTAAGTGTGTTCAGAGAAGTGAAGATTTATATGTCTACTCTACTGGTGTCTTCTGTTTAATGAGGGAGTGATTTAGACATACAGTGATCGTTTGATATTTTAGAGGGTGCGAGTGGCCTTCTGACATTTCTTTTTGATGCATACAGTCCCCCTACACACACCTTTATTAGAACAATTATGAAGAAATAAATACTTTAACTTATGTGTTCTTGATTCATAGTACTGTTGTATTTATTATAAGATATAAACTGTTATGAACTGAACAAAATGTTCAAAGAAGATCACTTGTAACTGTACTTAACTTCAGGCTTTTTAAAAAAATTATTTATTTATTTATTTGCAGGTATTGGGTATGGTATGTTCATGGTGTCTACCTTCATAGCTCTATATTACAACATGGTGATAGCCTACAACATTTTCTACCTCTTTGCTTCCTTCAACTCAGACGTACCCTGGAGGTTTTGTGGGAATGAGTGGAACACGCAAGGTAGGATGGGACGTCATCATAATAGTCCGTTGGAGACAACAGATTCATTGCTGTGGCCATCGCGGAATATAATTCTATTTTGGTTGAGTGAAACGTTACCTGTTTAAAAACAAATAAAAGAAGAAAGGAAAAGAAAGAACATTTAAGGTTCAAGATTGATTTTAACTATCGCTTGACATAAATCCATAGTTGTTCTATAATCTACAGAGACAAGATAGAATAAAAAAATGTATATATAAGTCTGATGTTTCAGTTAATTATATTTTTCTGTATTATAAATTATGTGATTATGCATTATGGAATTACAATTCCATTTTCCTACACTCTATGTAGAGAGAGAGCTTATATACTGACTTATATTTTCCAGCATGTGGGGTACTGAACAAAGCAGCAGAGAAGAACTGTACAGCTTACAATGGCACATACTTCAATGATACATGTTACAGCATAGAGTCCCATGGCTGGGATATATACAACTACATCCAGAATGTGTCTAATCTGACGTCAGAGGAAGAACTGAAGAGGGTTAATCCCAGCGATGAGTTTTTTCAGTAGGTATTTGTTATTGGCATTTCAGTCCTGACTTGTTTCAAACATTTTATCCTCTCAAGATTATTTATGTAATTATACTAACTTGCTTGCAATAAAAAAAGCTAAAAAAATACCAACATTTATACCTGAACCTAATTTATTCTTTGCCACTGCCGTCTTCAGACAAATCTTGTTCTTGTCCTGCGTCTGCCCTGTTTCCTCCATTTTATTCCCAACTGACCATATCCAGGTTTCCTTGGTCCTTCCTCTTTTCCTCTTGCGTGTGATGTCCACTTCACAAGTGGTGCCAACCTCATCATCCCACATAATGTCCTCTTCTCCCCCAGTGGTGACCGCCTCATCACCAGTAACAAACTAGTTATAAATATTTTCAGTAACTATGTGTTGGACATCACCGAGGGTTTCCATGACATGGGTGGAGTGCGCTGGCAGCTGGCACTGTGTCTTCTATTGGCCTGGACCATAGTGGGTCTGTGCCTTATCAAAGGAATTAAGTCTTCTGGAAAGGTAGGTACACTGGACCATAGTGGGTCTATGTCTTATCAAAGGAATTAAGCCTTCTGGAAAGGTAGGTAACCTTAGCTAGCTTTAACTGACAAATATCACATCTGGCTGAAATGAAAGAATTTCAATAACTTGTGTCTTAAAAAAATCGATGGTGAAGCAAAAAAGTGGATTAGTGGACAATTTTACCTTTTAAAACAAGTGTTAAAAACAACTGTAAGTCCAAAATTAATGCGTAATTTTAGACTAGTTGTACTCCTTTTAAGTGGGGATACAAAATAATCTAGATGCTGTAGATATTAATACATTTTTTAAAACCTAATATTAATACTTGATTGCAGGTTGCGTATTTCACAGCATTCTTTCCCTATGTGGTGCTGCTGGTGTTGCTGATACGAGGCCTTACACTTCCGGGCTCTGTGGACGGAATTAAGTATTATGTTACGCCTCAGTGGCATCTGTTAGGGAGAGCAAAGGTGTGTGTGTGTGCGTGCACGCACACAGGCATGCATGCATTTTTGTATTGCTTATATTGTTCCCTTAAAAACTAATTTAACAATTCTGAGCAAAAAGTAGGTTTTAATTCAGAAACTGTAGTGTGTGTGTGTGTGTGTGTGTGTGTGTGTGTGTGTGATTAGTAATGGACAGGTCAGTCTAGGTAAAAAAAAAAGCCTTCATATCTGGAATAAATGAAATGTTTGATATTAAAGAGTGGACAGTATAACAAATGATGTATTACATAGCATTTGACATTTCATTTCCTAGGTGTGGAGTGATGCTGCTGTCCAGATATTCTTCTCACTCTCCCCAGGATGGGGTGGTCTTATTACACTGGCCAGTTATAATAAGTTCCACAATAATTCTCTCAGGTGAGTGGTAGTTTTGGTAATATAATTGTACGTAAGCATAGAGATGCATGTGTGCACTTCTGCTAGCACACATCTTCATACCCGTAACTCTGTAAGTAAAAAGACAAACTTTTTAATTGTAAACAGTGAAAATGCATTTCTTAGATAAGTCTTTGACTTTCATTCAGTGTGAATGATTTTTCATTCAGGGATGAGGTTTTTCTGTCTAATAGAAGATTTTGAACTTTTTTTTTTGGGTTGGACAATGCAAAATACTTATCGAATTTGGACAGACTATTTCACCTAGAATGGGGTTGCAACTTAAATTTGTATAATGTGAATCACATAACTAGCATAGTTTCTATGCTACAAATTTTTGTCTTCGCCTTTAATATTTTTATCATAACATAAAAAATAATGTGTCTACAGAGTGAATAATCTGATATGGAAATGCCTGTAATGATTTTAGGGATGCTTTCATAGTTGGAATCGGTGACTGCTTAACCAGTTTCTTTGCTGGTTTTGTTATTTTTGCTGTGATTGGTTACATGGCACATGACCTTCAGGTGGACGTCACAGAGGTCGTATCCAAAGGTGAGCGTTGTGATTCCGTCATTCATGGGAATCTTTAAAAGACCTTTGGAGACATGCATAATATTATCATTTTCAAAGATCACTTTATTGAATGTATCTGTTATTTCTCTGTATGTTAAAACTAAACTGATGAACTGTATTTTCCAAAAGTGACTTTAAATTAAGTATATTCAGAAAAAGTGGGATGTTTAGAATTTAAAACTAGATTTTATTTTTGTTTTTGTTCTTGGCTGAGAACTTGTCCACCAAGTGCATACTGTATTTCTGATTTAAGTTTTAACTTACAAGTCACGAAAACTTTTTACGTTATTAGGTACTTTATTGTAACCAAATACACCATGGAAGTGGTGATTATGTACAATACAGATCACAATCATTCACAAAATATGATAAATACAGTACCTTGACTTAATAAATAAAATTAATAATTAAAACATATTTATTTTCTACAATTCAGGTCCAGGTCTTGCATTTATCGTATACCCTGAAGTTGTCAAACGTCTTCCGTTGTCACCATTCTGGGCCATCAGCTTCTTCCTCATGATGATCACACTGGGGATGGGAACACAGGTAATACACTGATATTTTGATGGAAGTTCATCTGTGTAGTTTTTTGATTATGTTATGAGTTTAAACTGTTCAATTTTTACACTAACTTGAGCTTTACCTTACAAAACTTTCAATAACTACTGTGACATACCGTGTAGGTTAACATTTTCATATGTCTCTCTTTATAGACTCTTTTTAAATTATTCTTTCCCCACTGAGGTCCACAGGCTGTAAAAAGCTTTAGGAAAAAATATTTTTGTTCGCGAACTTTATAAAGCGACCAATGAGATTTTTAATTTTCAGAAGTTCTTAATTTATATAACTCTGAAGAAAGGAAATTGAGGGGAAAATAAAGTGGAATGACTCAAAATATTATATTTATTTGAATGAGTTAGAGGAAGCTTTTTTTTTTTTTTTTTTTTTTTGTAGTTTGCCACAGTGAATACAATGCACACCACTCTCTTGGACTTGTTCCCAGAGAAACTGAGGAAAGGACACAGACCAACCATAACTCTGTCAGTCATTTGTGGAGTGATGTATTTACTGGGACTCACCATGACTTCTAAGGTAGGTTACAAGTGCTGATATAAACCTACTAGTTCTATAACTCATACGTTGAGTCATTCATTGTCTCTTTTCAGTTTCTGTATTGTGTCTTTCTCAGTGTCTAGTTATATAATAATAATAAAAATAATACTATTTGTTCCAGGGTGGTCTTTACATGCTGACACTAATGGACAACTATGCTGGAACGTACTCCTTGCTGTTTATTGTGATAGCTGAATGTCTGGCACTGTCCTGGAGTTACGGTAAGGAGATGTATCTGGAGCAGTTTAGCAATGATTCACAAGAAAGAGATTTTTTTTAATTGGCTTAGAGATCCCAGAAAGGCTTCATTGAACCTTTTTATCCTTCATTTTTATGATTGTTACATACCTTTCAATGGCTTTGCATTTTATAAAAAGAATGCTAAATTCATTTTACTCAAGATGATTTAAATCACAGCTCCCCCAGCTTCCCCCTGAAAGACATCGTCACCAGTTTTGGGAAGCTGAGATTCAAAACAATATATTTTTTAAAGAACAACAACAACAAAAAAAGGTTATATCTACCTTAGGCTTCGTTCACATGCAATGTCTATTTTCTATTTTCTATTTTCTATTTTCGGTATGTCTTATGATCACGGTCTGTGCACTGAATATCCCGCCGCGTAATTACTGGCAGCGCGAGCCAGTTACTTATAGTAACTTATAGTAACTGGCTCGCGCTGCCAGTAATTACGCCGCGGGATATTCAGTGCACAGACCGTGATCATAAGACATACCGAAAATAGAAAATAGAAAATAGACATTGCATGTGAACGAAGCCTTATTCATGCTGTTTCCTGTCTTTTTTAGGTTCTGATCGATTCCTAAAGAACATCAGTCAAATGATTGGGCGACATCCTGGTATATATTGGAAATATTTGTGGCAGTACATAACACCCTGTGTATTACTGGTAAGATTCTTCATATCATCCTGGTATATACTGGAAATATTTGTGGCAGTACATAACACCCTGTGTATTACTGGTAAGATTCTTCATATCATCCAGTACAAATGAGTTTTTAGTCTGTGTAATTAGAGAAACTGGGAATATTGTTATAACTTTCTTCACATTTTTATTTAATTTTAGATATTATTACAATGCATTCACTACTTAAATGGTCACATAATATCACTCTTTTGTTCTGAAACATCTTTAAAGAAATTGTGTTATATTTCTTTTTACATATGGTTCTGCTTGAAATCACTGTAGCAGTGCAAATAGAAAAATGAAAAATGAGCGACTTTTTTTTGTGCAGACAGTGGTATTTTTTATCTCATATGAGGTCATTTGCAGAATTAGGATGAAAAAAAAAATAAAAGCACATTTTCTACTATTTTCCCTTCAGTTCATCATGTTCTTCACGTGGTACGACTTCACTCCGTCCTCGTATCGTGATTATGTGTTCCCCGTTTGGGCAGATGTCCTCGGCTGGATGGTGTCCTTGACCTCCCCCCTCATGATACCTATTGTTGCCACGGTGATGATCATAACGGCACGCAGGGACCAAAGATATCAACATATGACTCTGTGGCAGGTATGGTTCAGTTACGCTTTCGATTTTTTCTTTACCCATGATTTTGTATAATAATGATGATAAATCGGGAGTGTTGAATGATTCTCAGAGATTTTTCGAATTTTTTTAAAGAGACCATTTATGGGTCAGAAACCTCATTTAAAAAAGTTGGTTACACATCCAGTTGAAAGTTTTAAAAGGCACATAGTTTTATGAACTAGTTACAACACGAGTCATCCTATGCATGCAATATACAGAAGCGTAAGTATATCAGGATGCAGTTGAGATATAATTTGCCTGTTGCATGTTGCATACAGTGGATTGATGACGAGTAGTTGTAATTGACTTATATCACGGCTGGCACTTCAAACAATAAGATGAAAATAGAGGCAAGCCTGTATGTGAAATACAAGTGCAATTATCTTATTGTTTGAAGCACTAGCCGTGATATATATATATATATATATATATATATATATATATATATATATATATATATATATATATATATATATATATATATATGTTGCTCTGTATTTGGTAATGTTTCTTTCAGATCATCAAAATGCTGACGAGGCCTACAGAAGCCTGGGGTCCTGCCTTGGAGGTTCACCGACGAGAGGCAGCGGAGAGCAGCACCCGTATGGTTCCTATGGTCGACATGAGCACCATGAACACAAATAACACTGTCGAGAAAAATAATTACAAGAACGAGGAATCTGACGCCAAAGAACCACTCACAAATGGAGCGGTTGATGCGTAGGAACAGTGATCAATTTCAGTTCTGATACTGTGCAGTAAGCCTCCAAAGTCTGTAACATTCATAGTCAGTGCCTCATATCAGTACACTCGGGGTCTCTGAAAAATGACTGCTGTGCTCAGTAGAAAATTTTAGAAGATGTGTGAAGGGTACATTTAATTACTTTGATATGGTTTTCAGATAACATCTAAGTTTGTAAGAGGCATATTGGAGAATGACTTGGTTTTAGTCGATGATTCAAGAAACCAGCAAAGGAAATTAAAAAACATGTTAAGTTATGGTTTTCTGCGAGATGTAAATTGATGCAACCAAGATTATTTATTTAATGTTAAATGTGTAAATTTATTGACTGTTATATTCAGCTGAAGGCTGTGCATTTTCTATGTTCCTGAATCCAAGATTCTGGTGGACGATTTATAAAATTACTTGCAGAGTCATTAGTATATAATGTCCCCACCTTCTTATTGAAGGAGAGGAAATTTTTGGAGTAAATCATGTTTGTTTAGCAAATAATATTCCTCCACATTTTTTTTTTGATGTGTAAATGTGTGTAAAATATAGAGGTATAATATTGCTGAAGGGTACATTAGAATATTTTGAATGTTTTAGTAGAATTGGAAGAAATGGAAATATTAGAATCTCAGTGATGAACAAAAAGTGATAGCTGCTCAGTTTCAGGTTTATATTTTTAATTGGAAACATTTTTTTTTTTGTGTGTGTGTGTGTGTTTGAAATAATTCTGTTTGTTGGAAAATGGCAACTTGTCCAACCTGTTAAAGTGAAGTGAGCATTAACATGTTTTCATGTAAAAGTAATTTCACGTGTACATTTAACGTATGCGTGTGCATTGTAGATTCATGTCTTATTGTACATAATTATTTCTAAGTGTTATCAGCATGTTCTATATTATTCACACCTAGAGACTCTTTTATGTGCAAATTCTTTTAGTTATACTTGTTTTTACCAAATGTATTTCTTGGTATACAGAGCCAGTGCTTTTTTTATTTACAAGGAGTTTCAAGGATTTATATTTATATTTGATTTATATCTGTTATGCTTTAGGAAGTGGAGAAGCATTCTAACATTTTCTCTTGAAATTGATGCATCAGAGGTATCAAAATTGCTTTGATGACTATTTATTCACTTGTTTTATTGGTTTATTTATATCTTTATCTTTTGTAGCTACTGGAGTAAAACAAAAAGCTTGTTTTTATGTTGTGTACAGCACAGAAAAAATATGAATCATCATATACAGTTGTATGTGTGATTATTATTATTATTATTATTATTACATAATTGCACATTAGAACATGCTAATTGTCATTAGGAGTAAATAAAGAAAATGTATGGTGTACTGTGCATGCCTATGCCTTAATTAAACTAACTAAAGTGTTTGTTTGGAGGATAAGTTATATACATGTGCATGTAGATCATTAAAAAATATATTTGTGGCCATGTAAGGTTGTAATGTCTTCGTGTATGAAGGAAGAGGGACCCAAAGTGAGTCCCACAGCACAAAACATTACTACCCAGTAGATATTAGATGCACTTTCAGCATTAATAGGTATCAGCTTCTTAATGTTATTGATGTATTATTTGATTTATGTCTCACTGTGTGCCATAACACAGTAGTACATGTATATTTCAATATACATCTTATTTTTGTAAGAGCTCCATCTCGAAACCATCAAGTGTTTTCTGGAGTATTGTTACATGTGGTCTTTAAAAAGTGAGATGTTAATTTTATGGAATGAAATTTCTTAATATGGTGCTAAAATGATTCCCAGTTGTGCATTCAGACGAAGTATAATCTGGAATATCTTGAATCCAGTCTCAGCCACCACAAACTTTTGAACTGGTAATTCTGTAGTCTTCCACCAAGCAACAGGTTTATGTAGATCATTTTTCTGATATTTTTATATATTTGCCATTCACATAGGATATTTGCTGAATTGATTTTTTTAAAGTTTATTAATTAATTATCTTATTTTTGCAGAGGAAGGTACCAGGTGATTTTAATTTAATAATGGATTTTTAAATATCTTGAAATTTTAAAGTAAAAGTAGTTAGGTTTTTTTGGTGAGGGTCTTATGGACTGACCCTATTTTGCCCAATCTGAATACCTTATGAGACGAACAACTATTGTATCATTACTGTAACATACAATTGACTGTTTTAGCTAATAAACACGGTATATACTTAATATAACACTGAATAAATCTTGTTATGTAACAGTAATGTTGGCGTTCATGTTGGACTGATAAAAGATACATCAAACAGAATTTTTTGTAAAAGCGTGAATTGTTATTGGAGATTTTTTTTTTTTTTTTTTTTTGTATCATTTGCGTAAAACAAAAATAAGGCAATGTTTATGTTACTGTTAATTTTTTTGTACCAATTGCGTAAAACAGAAAAATAAGGCAATGTTTATATTACTGTTAATTCCATCGTTGAAAGTAACTTAGTTTGATGTGGGCTTACAGCTATGGTTGCATCTCGTCTTGTGAGTGTTTCAGCGCCTCCTGGTACGAAGGCGGTGGTGCTGAGTAATCGTAAGGTGGAGGGGGTTGCCCAAGCGTAAACACGGGGTTCACGATGACGCTTTCGGAGACGTGGTTGTTTTCCGTCGGCAGGTTATTGGATGAATCCATTTCCCTAATGTTGCCTTAAAATAAAACAAAAAGAAATGAGCCGAAACCGCAGACAACGTCGGTAGAAATGGTATGTGAGGTTACTTGTGACGTCACAATATATTCGGTGACGTAAAAGGCGCCAGAGAGCTACAGAGACTGTCGGCACAACCGCTCTTCCATCATATCGGCTGTCAAATGAATGAAGGTAAGGACGATATAGGAATGGAGGGAAAGCAGACAAAAAAAAAAAAGATAGTGTGACTAAAAACTTTAGCAAATTAAATAATAATAATAATAATTATGGTAAAAATAATGATAAATGCCCAGGGCTCCGTAACTCGAAAGCATCGCGAACTGCGACCGAGCGCAAACATGGAGATTCGCCTCTATTCCACACTGTAACTCAGGATTTACTCGCCCAGTATAATAGCCTCGAAATGAAAGATGATATCGCTATCGCAATTTGCGATGCTTTCGAGTTACGGAGCCCAGAACTATTTTTTTTTTCTCACCTTTAAAACGATGGACACAGGTATAGACCAGAGCCATAGTGGCAGTTATCGCTGTTAGTGTCCCAAGAATCAGACCGACTATAAGGTTTACATTCAATGTTCTTTTTTCACCTAAAATAAGAAAATAACACGTAGGCCCACTCGTACATGTAATCTGAGGTTGATAGCGATATTTTTTATTTGAAATCATTTTAAATCATGTAAATCACCATTTTAATCATTTAGAAATAATAAAATAAAATGTAGGCCTACTCGAACTTGTAAGCCGAATGAGTACGATATTTTAATTTTTATTAAATAATTTCAAACCATTATTTAATTATTTAAATAATCATACATCGTCATGCGGGATCTACTCACCTGTGTTCCCCGCTGTTCCTGGGGCTTGGTTTGTGTTTGTGACGTTAAAAGTAAAATCGTAGCTTGAGGAACGAAAGCGAACTAGACGTACGGTCAGGAAGTCGCTGGTCGTCAAAAAGGCGTCGGGGGCTTCATTAAAGCACGAAAGGGTTTTCTGAATATGTAAAGAAAAGACGGGTGGAGGATATACAGCAGAATCAATTTTGAGGCAAAAAGAAAAAAGAAAAAGAAACATATTTTGCAGATTCTTGTCGAAGTCATTTTCCCTCAGGCCTTTCTTTTATTTCGAACGCGATGGTGAGCGAATTCAACTGTCGCATTCGACGAGAAAACTGCGGTTAAAAGCAATGATGCCAAGTCGATTAACTTTTGGAAAAAAACATAACTTTTCTGTTGGAGGAAAATGTAAAGCTGATCGATGAGTTAAGTCATTTCGGGGGAAACATCATTTAGGCCGACAATGTTCGACAAAAATATATATAGTCTGTCATACCTCTGACGAATTTTTTTTATTTATCGCGTAATACAGAAATGTAATGTATAAAAATCGAAAATCTAGATAAAGATACTTTTTTGAGAAAAGGCAAAACCTACCGAAGAAACTCCTTCTGCATGTTTTCCATCGTACAATGTGAGTTGGCTGTCGCATGACGTCATGTTGAAATTCCTAAACGTCACCTTCAGCGCAGTGTATGCGGCGGCCTCGTACACTACCGTGCATATAGAGGGCGCTTCAGGAGGAGCCGGTCTGGAGGTGTTCCCCCATGCTTTAACGATCTCAGTATCTTGGAGGAATACTACGTACTGCTGACCACAGTCGTTGGCATAATTGTCCATATACCTCTGGTATACTGTAATGAAAGTGTGGAATACAGTGCAGTACAGAAATGATTGTGAAATATGCGTAAAATTTGCCAAGTGTCTGGAACATCATTGACAGTCAGACAAGGTGGTTGGTCGTAACCCATTGTGGTATAATTGTTTTACCTTGCGACAGCCTTGAATGCTCGCCCACCCCACCCCTTCGCTTCAAACTCCGACCCTCAACGAAATCTCATTTATTATGGACAGCCTTATGTATAATAGACAAGAGCGAGTAAAATCTAAAAAAAGTAAGAATAAATAACCTGACGCTTACCTGAAAGCAGCACCTGTTGAACATGGAATGTTATCCGTGCGCCCGGGTAACTCAGTTTGTCTCCTTTGATTTGCAGCCAGACCGTTAAGTAAGCCCCGGAGGAGAAGATGGGTGGCAGACTCTTCGAGTTCACACCACAAGAGAAATGTTTCTGCAAGAGAGGAAGCTATTTGAAGAGATGTTACGTTATTATGACGTCACAATGTCTTCACGATGTCATAATGACGTAGATATGACGTAGCGTGCCAGTTGATCTAAGGTCATACACTGTTAGACTGTCTTATTGCTGAACGTAATCATTGGCATCTTTGCCGATGATAAACACCTTTAAACACCTTTATCAACACCTTCAATAAACAGCGAAATAAATGAAATGGCGAATTTATTTTCATTACCATTCTACAGTGGATGTTGAAAGAAAAACAGAGGTAATTTGAAGATGTTCCAGAAATACGAAAGTTGATCGCATTATCAATGGTCGGCCTGTTCTGGCAACAAATAATCCATTTCGTGTTCCATAAAAAGGTATTATGCCCCAAAGTCTAATTTTTGTGTCTAAATGTCATGCATGTCACAATGAATAATGTCCAGGTCATTAAGAACTAAGTTAATTAAAAGTGGCACAAAACATCGAATCCAACTGCAGTTGGTCAATGGTTCCCGGGAAGGATAACACTCCCTTGTTTGAGGAAATTAAATACGGTTCGAAAATCCGCAAAAGAATACAGTGTGCCTTTTACTTACGACAACCACTCTCTCTACTTACAATCATTTCGCTGTCGATATGGTCTTCCCTTAATACAGATCCATTCAGGAAGCCGAGGGAAATGTTGCACGATTCATCTGCCGAGTTCAGCCATGGTATAGTTATTTCTGAGAACGAAACCTTCAGCGGCACCCCAGATGTTGTCTTGAAAATTATATAACATGAATTTGAAGGTAAAGTGTTTGAGTGTTCTCCAAATTTGACCGTGTGGTTTTGGTGACTGTCCACAAGTTGTTTGCTGCCGCAGTAAATGTTCGGACCGTCCAAGTGGTAGGTTTTACCTGAAACTACGTAATTATTTAGATTCAGACAAGATTCTAAATATGAGTGTTTGTTTTTATTGTAGTAAGTGATACGCTGAGAGAGAGAGAGAGAGAGAGAGAGAGATAAAACTTACCCTCAACAGCGGAATTTATAATTACAATCCACCATATGTGAAGAGCAGGAGACATAACGAGGACAATTCCTAATCAAAATGCTTTTAAAACGCTTGGTAGAACATATCCAAGGACACCTTGAGTGTGAGGTTCTTCCTTCCACAGTGTAATGCCGATTCGAACATAAACGCTTATCACATTCAAATTACTTGCTCGCGCACTGTTATCGTCTGGAAAGAGAGAAAATTCTTAGAAATCAGCATATTGTTTTAAATGCCAACCGCTGCTCGGATTTTATATTGACTTGTGGAGCCTTGAGCTCGTCATGTAAAACAAGAGTCCTCTATTGCTTCTCACGAGGCTGATTGCTCACCCCCTAACTCTCACATCGGGCGTCCACATCATACTTAACTGTCTGAAATTAAACTTAACGTGCATTTCACCCCTTATTTAAAAACAAGTGAACTAACAAGATAACATACTTTAAATAAAAGATTCGGCCTTACATAAGATTTGCGGCCTTACATAAGTCTTGCGGTATTCGTTGACATTTACCATCAAAATACATGAAAAAGCAACAGAGTCGTACTTTTATCCACACAGCTGCTGTATTACCCTGCGATGAAGAAGTTAACCCTACCATAGCTTTTGCAACCTGGGGTGGCTTGAACTCTCCTTCACCGGGTGTGTGGGTGTGGGTGTGGGGACACGGCAGAGAGAGAATGTGGAAGAACCGCACCACTATGTGCATTTATTTACACCTACGAATATGCGTACACACTTTGATATGTTAACTTTTTACAAAACAACCGAAAATATTATAATAATAATAATAATAATAATAATAATAATAATAATAATAATAATAATAATAATAATAATAATAATAATAATAACAAATGAATAGATAAATAAATAACTGAATAAATAAATGAATGGATGAATAAATGAATAGGATGGATTATAAAATAACAATAAAATCAATAGACTTTTCTGAGCTACTCCTAATTTTGTTACGTTTTATTTGGAACCTAAGAGAGCAGTAGACATGTGGAATACTTTAAAAGTTTGATGGATATTACGCGATCCACACACGGAATGGCGGCAAATGAGGTGGAAAGAGGGAAAACAGATTTACTCAGATTGGGTATGAGCCTATCAACAGTTCTATATCCAAAATAATTATACGACTCATTGTTTCTGGGCATGCCTTTGAAAACAACGTTTTATCTGTCTGGAAACCTTTTTCCCTGTCCTGAAGTAGCATTACACGACTAAAAGAATTTTCGTTTTTCCCCTGGTTCCCAAATAACCTTTTTGTCCTCACTGTTTGCGCAACACGTGCATCACGCGATAAGAACGCCACAGCGGCAAATGCAACATCATAGCTTCAGCAAACATTGCGCCTATGGGTGATGCATTACTGCCACAACATCCATTAA